CCCGTATGTACACTTTCTGGAACTTATTTTTCAAATATTCACTTACCGGAAGAATTTTGTACAATTTAGGATCTCTTTTTGCAATTTCCTTATTGGTGTTATCTACAAAATGGAGAAATCTGGTCAGCAATGAAAACCTTTCTTCACTCATTACATTGGGAAAAAATGGTGTTTCTAACATGTTTCCTACTAAAATACATCCTGAGGTTTGGTCTCTGAATTATTCCCATCAGCATAAGAAAACCTAGGAATATCCTAATTTCATTCGAAGTTGTGGGAACCCACTTTTGAAAGCTCTATTTTATTAGCGTCAGGGGCAAGAAACTGTCCCGCCAGAGAAGTTACGTGACCAAATGCCATGTTGCTCCGATAAGAGGGTGTTGCGAAGCAGAAAAGGAATAACAGATTCATAAATGTTGACACAGGCGTCAGGCAACTTCGACACCTAGGTTCGTAACATCGTAAATCAGACACAGCTTCGTCGCCCGTAAGCCTAGCCAGTAATAAAAAAATACACACACACATTGCACTCAATGAAAGTTAGCTAACAAATTATCTCTCTGTAAGCAAGTCGGAGTGTGAGTTGGAACAACTCTTTAGCAGCAGACACCAGATGCTTTGTCCCAAGCAAAGCGAGTAAAAAAAAATACCACACACAAACAGATAGCGAGGAATGAAAGAAGTCAGTGTTAGCTGACATATACATTCACTGGAAGTACACACATCAGAGCGTAGGCGTTAAGAATTCTTAGTGAAAAGTTTGGACGCAACATATGCGGCGCGCACGCTTACAGCACGGCTTTGAGTGGACGCAGACGGTGCGTCGCACACGCTTAGGGATTTAAATGGCTCCGCTAAAAGTCACGCTCAAGGGGTTAAGCAAAATTAATTGGGATCTCCCCTTTCAACATTTGAACCAATTTTCCTAACATGAAATCTGATCTGAAGGTAGATTACAAATGCCCACAATTTTACATATGAAATAAGTCAACTACTGCAAAGAGGGACAGAGTGAACCTTCGAGGTTATATATGATTTATTGTAACTAGAATCTGTATTTGTGAAGTTCTTCCCAAAACCATTCACTCAAGCTGATCACACTATANAAATCTGACCTGAAGGTAGATTACAAATGCCCACAATTTTACATATGAAATAAGTCAACTACTGCAAAGAGGGACAGAGTGAACCTTCGAGGTTATATATGAATTTATTGTAACTAGAATCTGTATTTGTGAAACAGCTGACTAGCCTGGTTCAAGTCTTTGCACAATGTTTCAGCAAAGGGACTCATACAAGTTCTGCCAGCTTTAATCTTTTCATAAACTGGTTGTAAAAACACCACTTTACACATACAAAATAGTAACTGTTGAAGACTCAAGTTGCAACCACTGAACGTCATACTCACCTGAGAAAATATGAAGTTTATGTACACATTTGTGACAACAAAAATAGTGTCATATCAGAGAATTACAAAGTGCACAAATTTCAAACTAATATCCATGATACTTCTGGAATGCAGCAAAAAGAATCCAGGTCTGTATGCATAAATGTGTGATGAGTTATGTCATATTTGTTTTTATAATGGGCCATCCTGAAGAAATCTTAACGTGCGTTAACTTGAAATACCAATAAATTTTTCATTATTGAGGTTTTAATCCATAATCCACCCATTTTCTATGTTTCACACCTATCCAAATCTGCAACGCATTATGGTGTCAAGTAGGATGTAGAAAGGTGATATGAAAAAAAGACTTTTAGAGCTACATACATATAATACAAATGAAACTGAACTCAAACTGACACTTTATTTCTCACTTTTCATTCTTAAAACAATATTTATGATTTCTGAGGTGCACTCTGGCTGGATGATTTTGAGTCCCTCAATGAAGCAGAGCGTCGCCGTTTAATTTCTTCCTGGCGACGCACCTTCGCTTCTTTCTGGCGCTGAGCCAACAGTTTTGCATAGTCTGCAGCTTGTTCTTTGCGTTTTGCTATACGACGTTTCTTCAAGGCGAGACGATGTCTCTTGCGCTATAATAAAGTAGCACTCACATAAAAGCAACTGTTACATGATATTTTCAAACACTTCACCTCTAATGTGATTTGAGATTTTCATGGCAGTGAAAATGAATTGTGTTATGCACCATCATCACAACTCTTCAGAATCTAAGTGAAGCTGGTGACTGTGTCACATGGGTTGTGGCACTGTGTAGTCTGGTGAGTAGTTACTAAGTACCCTCCTCCTGAAGATGGAAACAGCATGTAAGCATTTTCCAGTTTAAGTTCAAAATATGAAAGCCTCTGTTTCCAAAATCAGGTGTATGACATTTCAAAGTAATCAACTTCTGAGTACTGACACATACAAACCTGTTGTGTCATACTGTGGGCGAATGGAAGCAAATGAACACTTATTCAAAAGCAGCCCTCAGTTTAAAGTTTCCACAGTAGTGAACTGATGAGCACTGACACGTACAAACATGTGTTGCCACACTGCATAAAAATATACAACAGGTCATGAATGTGCAAAAAGTCTTTTATTTCAGTGTATTATTTATATTCTCCCAAGATGTGACAGTGCTAGGTTGTGGATGCATTAAGTGTATGTAATAATAAACTATAAAACGTAAAGTTATCCCTGTGCTTAACTAATCAAGCACTACGCCATGAAGACATATGGGAGAGTGGATGTATAGATCCATGTTTTCTTGATCTCAGCAATAGTTGGAGGTGAGTGGTCAGCTTCATGCCTCGGCCGCTTTATGCCCCCTCCCCCTCCCCAGGGAAAGAGCCCCTGGTACCCACTGGATAGGAGGTTGGGTGGATACCACACCCTGTGGAGAAGTGAAAATTCTTGCCAACTACCGGGACTTGAACTCCGACCCCTCAGTTGTCCAGTCCATAGGCAGTTCCTATACCGAATGCACTATCCTGGCTCCCAATATTAAACCATGGATACGTGAAATCCATGGTTGGCAGGGGTTGCTATATTAAGAAATGAACATATTAGTTATGACTTCAAAGTCTGCAGAAAATGCTTTTCTTCATAGCCTTTAGAATGTTTGCCTGAAAATGTTTAACCTGTTTGAGACTATTAGTAACTGTACTGATATGACTGACATCACTATGTCTGATGATAAAATTGTTGTACTACTGGAATGCATAGAATCAATTACATATACTCTGTTCAGATGATTCCATAATTAACGAGAATGCCATTCTAGAAAACCGAGATTAACAGCCATGAGAATCCGTTGCGCTGACCATGCAACACTCTCTATCTGCTAAAGTTGGCACTAACTTTGCTGACAAGTGTTGGTTGCTCAGTTAGTAGAGTTCACTTGCAGACTAAAAGCCACAGGGTTGGTTGATTAGTTAGTGCTCACAAATTATTCTAAATAGCCATTATGTTACTGCCTAAACATGCATGAGTTCCTATTATAACACACCTAGCAAACATGCTATGCTGCTCAGCCAGAAAGCATTAAAATCACGTCCTTCACAGTGGAATACACTTGTACAGCTCTATCATATACACACATCAAGTTATCCTCCATTTTGATCCTGGGACCTATAACTCAGTCTGCAGATCAACAAGTTGACCAAGGAACCAAAGACTTTGATTCCTAGCAGCAGCAAGAGATATTTCTTCTTCACAGAATCCAGACAGGTTCTGTGGCCCACACAGACACTATCCAATGGGTACTGAGGACATTCCTGGGGGGGGATTGTAAAAGTCGGCCAAGGTGACCACCCACCTCGATCTGTTGCTGACATTCATTGTATCTGGATCTCTCCATACGTCTTAAATCAACTAATCACAGGGAAAACTTCACCATTCATATACTGATCTCAAAGGAGATCAAATGTAAAAATGATTACAAAACACAAACTTACCTGGAGCGTAACTGGTGTAATAAGACGCTGGATCTTCGGAGCCTTCTTACGCTGTTTAGTTTTGCCCTCCTTCAAGGGCAAAGGACGCTTGACCACATACTGTCTTACATCATCCTCCTTCCCTAAGTTGAACAATTTCCTGATTTTGGATGCTCGCTTTGGACCTAGGCGTCGAGGTATAGTGTTGTCAGTCAAGCCAGGAATATCCTACAATTGCATACAAATATTTCAAGGCCTAACTTTTGATAAAACGCTTACAAAATCAAAAACTTTACAATATTATAACTAAATATAAGCATATTCAGCATGCATCCACATCTACTATCGCAATACCTAACAAAATCTGCCCTTTATTTTTAAGCTACTGGACCCAATACCACGCAAAGTAAATTAACATAACCTAACCCAAAGCAACTTGTCAAAAAGTTCAAAATTTTTAGAGAAAAAATTGTTTTAATTCTGATAATACAATTATAGATATGTTAGTAACCTGTAAAACTGTGAAAGAAGAGGCATACGTAAACTTCCATTTTAATAGACACATGGACCAAGGGAGAAACAAATAAGAGTAGTCATTAAGTGTTTCAAGAACATAAGGAAAAACCAAGATGGGGGAGAGAACAAGGGGCCCACCACCAAAAAATGCAGAATTTAAAGGAACATTAAAATATGAGAACATGATGGCCTGGACATGCTTTTAAAAATGAAACTAAAATAAAATTCATTTGAGGAAGACTGGAATCAAGATGAGAATGGGACAGAAAAGATATATAGGAAGAAACTGATGTAGATGGAGTGGTTTGGTTGTTCAGGGACCCAGACTGGAAACATTTACATAAAAAGTTTAGCACGGTGCCAAACACTGTTTCTGGAATTAATAACACTGTATTTGTAAAACGAAATACAATGTGGTAAGTCACCAGATATCTAGTCTCCACAGTTCAAAATACCATACTGACACCAGTTAAGTTCAACATGGATGATCACTGTGGTGGGAGCAAATACAAGCAAACTGTTACATATCAAAAGCCAACCCTGGCATCCTCATTACGAAGCGGGGGTAACATCTAAAAAGATGGTCAACAGGGCAATGATCCACCTAAGCCAAAGTGTGAGGCATTGTGCCAAGGGCTGCATAACACTGGGGTGGAATCTAGCCAGTGTCATCACTGATCCCCTTGGGGTACCGCGCAGCACCCCCTTGTACTTATGCCTTCCACCCATATGGGACGCTGTGGGCACTGACCTTTTTGATTCTCCAATATGCAAAGACTATAAATGGCTATCTAAAAAGGCCAGGTCCACAGGACTTAAAAAAGGACTCCTTTCCAAGATCTTTACAAGAAATACTTCAGCAGGGGGGCCAGGAGCTCAAGTGCACCGTCAAGGGCACTGATGCAACCAGTGAACCTGCTGTCAAGATTTCAGTCAGAGGCAAGGACAAACCACTAGTGAGAAACCTGCCTAAGGCAACATCAAGGGTCATTCTCTTGGGAGCCAGCAGCTCTAACACACCACTGCAGGGAGACAGCAGTTCTAGCACACCTGCAGAAGGAGTGTGTCTGAGACAATGAGCCTCAGGAGTAGGCAGGCTCCACCTAGCCAGGACAAAACTATCTGGATGTGCTAGGTGGAAGCTAAAGGCAAGGGCAAGCCAAGCACGAACCGGGGACACTCAGCAACAAGGAAACGCAGGCATACCCAAGCAGGGAGAAATCTCGACCAGGACCTCTAAGAGGCCAAGGTCTGAGGACAGTACCCCTATGGAAAGGGTTAGACCTCCAAAAAGGTCCATGGACATACAAGGAGGCACTGACCAACATTATGATAGCTATCTTCAAGGAAAATCACCCTGAAGATAAAGTAACCAAAGATGGCTAGGTCCAAATCCCTGATGAACTGGGAAGGGTGTTCATGTGACTGTGTTCATGTGCACCTGTGGTCTTTCAGGCTGGAGGGAGGTCCACTCATTTACGTGTACACTAAGAGACTGGTTAAAGGCTCATCAGGGCCACTAACAATTACAGGCTGAGATCAGGGGCCAGGCTGAAGGCTACAACTGCTAGGAACCTCCCAAAGCCTATTAAGGCATCTCTCATAACAAAATACAAAGTTGCCACGAGTTCTCATAAGCTGCTGAAGAAGGCACATCTATGATCTGTCTTCACACAAAAATTCACATGCCTAACTCCAATAACCTAGTAGTTACCAACATCAAAGAAGCTATATATTATTTCACACAGCCACCATGTTTATAATGCCACAACACAATGACATATTTTTTTTACTGCCCAGGAGTCCCATTTTTCTAAATCATGTTTTAGTTTCCTTCACTGAGAGACACATGGGACATCAGTCAAATTGTTCTACACTGTCACATACCTTCAAACACACAGCTACTGTACAAGCTGATACAAACTATGAGGTTTGTTCGACTTATAAATAAAAACTGTTATACATAGAAGACAAACCTGTTCTCCTTTCTTCACAATAACCAAGGCCAAAACACTAAGATTGGAATCTACAATGCATCCACGCACTGACTTGCGCTTTCTTTCTCCATCTCGACGTGGTCTGTAGCATGAGTGTCCCTCAGACAGAAGCAATCGCACACGACCTGAAACATTGTGTTGCAAAGTTACTTAACCTTTAACGGCCGAATGTTATAATTATTCGCATCAAGTAGCAAGCCGAGCCGGCCGAATGTTATAATTTTTAGGGCCAAGCCACGTGCTTCCTTTGTGAGTGCTGGCAGTTTGACCTTGGATTTGAAACCCAAACAAATTCATGAACTTCATCTCAGACGTTTATTTGTTAGCTCTGAACAATGAAATCGTTTATCAGGGTACTGGTTTCAAAACTATTTACGTTTAGATATGACTGTTTATGACCTGGTGAGCCAATAGAGGTCAGCTTTGTTTTGAGAAGTTAGAGGAGGAAATATTCGTAAGCACTTTCATAGCAGTGCTACCAGAGCTTTCAAGGAAGTGTGGCTCATTCAGGGATTGGTTTGCAGTGTTGAATTCTCAGTTGGGACGTCAGTGGCGGATTTTCTATATTTTGTTAAAAGTTAGGAAGTCAGTATACGACTCCTATATTTCTTTTATATCATTTTTATTGTGTATCTCGGAAGTGGTATAAACCCACTGAGCCAGTGTTACTTTGTGTGTAAAGACCTCTTCGTCACTGTGACTTTCGGTATCAGTGGCGGACTGGCACTTTACGACTGCTATTGCAATTACTTTGCATCACAATTTTGCGAGTATTCTTCCACCTACTAGACATGTCTGTTCTCAATGAATATCTGTTACACAAGTCATGTGATGGAAAAATGACGCACAAAAATTTCCGCGAAATTTTGGTGCGTGATTTGATTCTTCAATCACATGAGGCGAATATCACGGTCAGTGGTGTTTTTCGAGGGAGGCCAAGTTCATCTGGGGCCCAACTGAGTCGACTGGAGGTGAAACATTCAAAACACTGACCAGCTAAAGGGAAACAAAGACGTTTGTTCTATAAACAAGAAAAGCGGGAGCACGCTTTACCGCTGTCGAGTGTGATGTCACGCTGTGTGATGGGCTGCTTCGAGAAATGGCACATGCATCAGAGTGTAAACTGTGAAGCGATGCAGTCCAAACCGTGTACAGTCCGAATCAAATATTATTGTATATAGTGTCGTCATATTTACATCACCACCATGATTCAAGGTTGAAGAAAAACAACAGGTAATATAATAATGATTATATTTTGCATTTCATGACAAAATACTCACAGTTGATTTTCATTTGTAAAACTTGCCCTTTTGTATATATGTAGAAAATTTTATTTTCTTTCAGGTTCTTTTTAGTTCATATTCCGATGTTGCATGGAACGGAAAATATGCATTTTTTTCTGAAAGTTTGCAATGTTAAAGATTTAGGGCCATTTAAATTCCGGCTGTAGGGAGCTGCCGGCAATTTAAAAGTCCATACGTTAAAGGTTAACTAGAGTCATAAGTACTAAACTCAAAATACTTGATGAATAACTACCAACATTCTGAATGTTAGTAACATGAAACGAACATATCAGAACCTAAAAATTAGAATATCTGCAGTTTTTCTAAAAACCAAAGGACAGATTCAAATTCATCTGAATTACTTCCTTAACCTTGTAATAGTATATGCTGCTACAGTGCCTGTATGTGAACTAGTACACTACAGCATCTTAAAAATATCTGACACATATGCTCAAAGCTAGAACTGTGGAGCTACAGGAGATGTCTTCGTTAGGCAATGGCTTTATAAACTCGTTTCCATGGAAACCAACTTTGGAAAAAAAAATGCAGTTCTCTTATGTAGTTCACAATATACTGGAAATTATGAACAGCGTGAACGGAGAACTACACTACCATTTAAATACTCCCCCTGAGTGTGGTACAGTTAAAAAAGAAAGGTTAAGTATAGAAGGAAGCGAGTTGAAAGGTTCAATAAAATCCCCTTTTAACACTCCCAAATATAAAGTTTCCCTTCATTTAACATTCTATTTCAACCATACCAAAGTCAATATCGCTGTTAAATTTCTTCCACATACATTTTCTCAGTATGTTATTCAGATTCATTTCTTCCAAAAGAAATCTTAAATAGGGGTTCCACTATCACTGGAATATATGCATTCCATCAATCCTGATTATTTAAGTGTGGAATGATTCGGTGTATAAACACAATAATCAGGCACATTAAAAGTGATGCAGCTGATTTTACATGAACAAGAAATTCCTTACAATTATCCCACAATGAGTATTGCAATTCCACACAAAATTAACAAGCTGCCAGTGGCTACAGAATGCTAATTAAAATTTCTCTCTGTTCATGGATAAACTTTCAATTAATTCATACTGGAGCTTTCTGTACAATTTAATTCCTACATAATATACACCTTTCTTAAAGTAAGGAAGATGATTAATTGGTCCATGGAGCACCTCTCAATTTTCACTGAAAAATGTTACAATTATGAACTACAAATGTCATGAAAACAAATATTAAAAAAAACTTGAATAAACGACTATGCAAATACAATTATGTACTTTCAATTCTTTCTACATTACAATACTTCTGTAACTGTGTCAGTGTGTTGTCCAATCAATTCCTCCACACTCCTTCAGTACATGTTTACAATTCGATAATATCTATGATGATTAATTTCTTACATCTGAACTATAAACATTAGCAACATCTAAGAATGTTGGAACATACCGATCAAAGCTGCTTCTATTGTCTTCTTTACTTCTCCTTACATAACACGATTCCGTACATGTAACTTAATTTTAATTTAATCGGAAGTACTTACCATTTGTCAATATTCCTTGCTTCATAGGAAAACCTTGTTTGTCATTTCCACCGGCAATACGCACAATATATCCCTTCCATTCATCGCCTAACGCATCAGCTTCAACCTCAGAGCCCATACGTTTCTCATAGAATATCCGAAGCCTGTGTTCATCGGAAACTTCGAACAATTTCTGACATCCCGAAGCAGGGTAGGACACGTTCAGCTGGACAAAAATGGTTTACATATACACACATTTACAAATTACTATTACTGTACACTACAACCATACACGTACTCACGACTGAAAATCGGTTATATTTTCAAGCATCCTGGAAGTTGCAGCTCTTAAAACTTATAGATATTACGGTACATGATATGACAAATAAAATCCCAACAAAATATTTCCGTAAGCGAATACAAGCACGTGCAATAACACTACAACTTACCTTCATTTTTCCCAACTTCCATTAACACTACTACCCATTTAATAAGGGAAGCATTCACTTACAATCGACTAGTTTGTGCGAGAAATGGTCACGGATTACGAAAGTTAGTTGGCCTATACGGCCTTTACGTACGTCTTGGGCGCCACGGATCATGAGGAAACAGCTGTCACTACTGCATCCAGTTTTAAGTTTGTAGGAATCTGGAGTGAAAACATGTTGGTTTCCTTCTTTTCTAGAAAAAGAGTGATCAGCCTCTAACAATGAATTCTAATGAACTACCAAAAGAAGTAAATGTTAACTTTGACGAGTTTTGTCTTCTGGGCTATCAGGCCATGTAGTTTTGAAAGTTATCTGATGTTTCGGAGGAACATGTTGCCTCTATCTTGAGTATGGAAAAGTAAGCCAAGTTCGAAAATAGCATGAAGAAGGACGCATCATGTTCCTCAGAAACGTCTATTGATTAGCAACGGACTAAATGGCTTTATCCTCTAAAGCAATATTGATAACCATTGATCTGTACCGGGAAATGAGGAAGAGTAAAGGCAGGAAATTAGTCTGTGAGGTTGTACTTCTACGCATTCGTTATTCAATGTTACAACGAGTGCAAGTGATCACGGAAGTGATATTCACTGATCTTAGCGATCGTGGCTAATGGATGTGGAGGTAGGTTATGTTTTTTTGTGTGTAATATGCTGGTGATGCCTGTTCTGTGTAATTTCGTGTTGATAGCAGCCTTAGAGTATGTAAATTGTATAATTAAAACAGGCGAATACTTAAACTGAAATTTCGTTTAAACTGTAAGAATATTTCCTCATTAGAGGCATTGCCAGTTTTGACAGACGCGAAGTACAGCATGGCAAGCAATGGTTCCTACAGCAACGAGCGCCCGTCATCTGGAGGCGATGCCCCGGAGTATGCTACTGATCCGGCATCAGGCAGTTTCTTTCATTCAGACTATAAAAAGTGAGTGGGTTTTTTTTTTCAGTCATTAAAGATATTAGTACTGGAGATAGGGAGGTGACATTGCTGTTTAATCCTTTGACCTAACACTGTGTTTTATTACTGCACTTTCTGACAGATTGGCAAACGATGTTATGTGCTACTTATACCAACTAAACTTGTCCAAGAAGCAGCAATGTGGAATTAAAAGCTAAAAGGTTTCGCGGACGAAGGTAGTTGTGGTACCCAGAGAGCATTCTTAATTTTATTTTTGTTCATTTGTTGGTGGTTTCTTTAATGATACTGTCATTGGGTCAAATTATATAGCATCAAATAGTAGGACTATTGATTGTAGTTCATTTCAGAATTCTGCAAGTATTTTGCTAGTATTCGCCCTCATTAATTCTCATTTTCGAAGGGAATGCTCTTCCTCAGATATATTCCATGTACCACATTTCAGGATAAAATTATATTAATAGGAAAATGCAAATATTTGAGCAGACAGTTTTCTGTCAAATGTTTGTTCTCCACTTATTTTCATATTAAACACTTTACATTTATTAGGAGCAATTTTACATTTGTTTTTACTCTGTATTAATCAGAGCAGTAAAATTCTCCATTAAAGTTAGGTGCCTGTTTAATCCAAGTTCGGTTTTTGGCGCCTTTTACTGTACATGTTAAAATATTTTTATTGTAATGTTTAATTATACTTTCTTTACAGACATGAAGATTTGAAACAAATGCTGGACAGTAATAAAGACAGCTTAAAATTAGAAGCAATGAAAAGAATTATAGGGGTAAGTTCAATATTGGAAATTTCTTTTGTTTGAAATTAGAATATTCCGTTTAATAGTCAAAGTGCTGATATACACTTCTGAAGCAATAACTACAGGCACAGATTAACCAGTTAAGTTGTTATGATGCCTGGAAACGTCATATGGTACTCACCTTAAGCGGTTAGTCCCTGGCTTCCCACCGCTGCGATATAATCAAGTGGGATTTGTGATGGACAGAGTGGTGCTGGGGCAGGTTTTCCCTGAGTACTTCAGTTTCCCCTGCCAATCCTCATTCCATCAAATTCTCCATAAACATTTTCACCAGTACAGGTACAATAGGACATATGGAAGCCGACGTGCCGAGGGGACCTAATATGGATTCCACCTCACACTATATGAAATCTTAACTATTGTAATCTATTGTAAACAAGTTTAAGTATTGTAACTTTATTCTCTTATTGTAATCAGCCAATGTACAGTAACTGACTTGTCCTGTATCATGTAACAGTGATCTATAGAGACGAAATAAATAAATAAATATTGTAGTGGGTATGATGTCTCTACACATGATGCATGTTTCCAACTACACCGTTGTAGATATAATGACAATCAGGAATGCAAGTTTGTATGTTGTTCTCTCTAGGTCTTTTAGTTACTTCACAGTGTGACAGGAAGGTGCTGATTGCTTGAGAGCTATCCTGGGCTCGAGTCTTTGTGAGTAAACATTGTGGCAGGTCCTAGCAAGGTGGTGCATGTGAGTGATGAGGAGGCGTTATATGAACTGTTGCAAGAGAATGAATATAGTTATATTTCTGAGAGCAAATATAATAGTGACAGTGAAATAAATGTGAAAATTTCTACGTGTAGTGAACAGAGTGTCAGCTCTGATGAAGAAGAAAATATCAGTGACAACAGTAAACATTCAGTATGGCACATGGGTAAAGTCAGGCACTGAGTGACCATGTTTTCCATTTACTGGAAACTCTAGCATAAATGTCAATTTAGAAGACTCCAGTAACCCCCCTGGAATATTTTGAGTTGTTCTGTACACCAGAAATTGTAGGAGTAATACCCAGAGAAACAAATTGTTATGCCTACAATTCTTTTGAAAAAATGCCTAATCTAAAGCTAAGATCTAGGACCCATCACTGGAAGGAGAGGAACAGAATTGAAATAAGGAAGTTTCTGGCATTCTCTCTGTTACAAGGACTTTACCAGAAACCAGGTAACAATAGCTATTTTTCCTGGAGGAAAATTCTGAAAAAAACCATATTTTTTACCTGTTCTGTGAGAGGAGATTTCACTTTCTACTCAAGTTTCTTCATTTTGTTGACAGTGAAAAGGGTTAGCATCATGAAACAAGATACAACGGTGAAAATTGTAGGGTGGCCCTGTGTGCTGCACTGTTTCCAATGTTACCATATTGCGACCAACTTCTAGAGGTGTGAAGAGTAATTGAGGTTCAGCAGGCAGTTGAGAAGTGTCTGAATATAATATTTTAGTGGTTGGAAAGTGTGCTATGATCTGGTATTGAAAACTACACCCTAATTACAAAGACCTTCATAATATGTGCCAGTTGCAACAATGTTTCTGGTGGTGTAATTGGTTTAGTGACAATTTCATAGTCTGTACAAGATAAAGCTTTTGCAGTCAATGTTTGGAAGAGCAAATAGCTTTTATTGCCAATTTCATTCATCCACAGGAGCCTTGAGCTTGTGAAGGAAGTACAGATTCAGCCCATGCAGCAATAAGAAACATCTGTATCTGTGCCAAGGGATATAGAAGCAGGGGTGCCACAAGGTTCTGTCCTAACCTGAACATTGTACAGTGATTTGCCCCAAATTCCTGGTGTGTGTCTAGGTGTCTGTTAATGACACCTGTATATATGCGATGGACTGCAGAGAGGGTTATGCTATTGAGACATGGTGTGAGCACTGGAACATAAAAATCATTGAAGATAGGACTCAGGCCATCTACTTTTCTCATAGACTTAGGCTCCCTAAGCTCATCTTACATTGAATGGATGGACGATTGTCAATCATGTAAAATGTCTGGGGGGCAATCTTCAATAAGAGGATTACATGAGACTACACATAGAAATGATTGAAGCCAAGACCTTCAGAACACTTATTAGAATCTACTCAGTGATGGAGAAGTATGGCATTTGTACATTACTCTGTAATTTTCATTTTATAGATGGTGGCAAAAGGAAGAGATGCATCTGATCTTTTTCCAGCTGTTGTGAAAAATGTCGTTTCAAAAAATATTGAAGTGAAGAAATTGGTGTATGTTTATCTTGTACGTTATGCTGAAGAGCAGCAAGATTTGGCCCTGCTTTCCATATCAACATTTCAGAGGGCTTTGAAGGTAAGACTCTTCTTGCAGTAAAGATGTAGTGAGAAAACTATGAATATATACAGGCATAAGGTAATGGCAGACGTCAAACTTAAAAGAGAGATCAGTTATTATGACTTAATGATTTTGTTAATCTTAAATTCTTTGGTTTATTTTCATTCATATCCACTTTTCATAGGCCTACTCAATGCATAGAACTTTGAAATGTCCTAATTAATTGTAGTAATAGGTCGTCAGTTGATCATGTTTTTTGAACCCTCTATGTGGAGATGACTGAGTGTAACATAAACTTGTTCACTACATATTAATATTAAAATGGTTATTGAAAGGCAGACATATTTATTCTTTTCAGGATCCTAATCAGTTGATAAGGGCAAGTGCTCTTCGTGTGCTGTCTAGCATTCGTGTGCCCATGATTGTGCCAATTGTGATGCTGGCAATCAAGGATTCTGCTTCCGATATGTCACCCTATGTTCGTAAGACAGCTGCACATGCAATACCAAAACTCTATAGGTAAAATATATTTTTGTAGAGTTACAAAGTATCTTTGATAGTTGAATAGAGATGAGATGTAGTGATGTGACATGAAAACATTTTCATGTATGATGTAAAGGGGTACCCCCTCATTGGTGGCTCCACCTAATCGTGGTGAGGGGGTTTGAGTATGCCAAGGACCCTGAGAGCTATACCAGCGGTAGCGTAGCTACTGGCAGGGCCTCCCTTGCTGGACAGGTCAAAGGGTAGGCATCAGACGAAGAGAGACACCAAAAACTGATGCCGGAAGCAGCGTCATCAGCAGCGACTTGAAGCACAGAGTAAATAATGCTCGAGATGGTTCAAGTTCGTATAGCAACAGGCGTGACCAGAGTGGTTTGAACGCCTGTTGTACTGCGATGTGGAAAGCAAATGGAAAAACTACCACATTATCACTTTTCCTGGATAGTCTCTTTCCAAAACCAGAGATACCATGTATGCGAGATGTTTCATTTGAAGGAGAAAGCTCTAGATCGCATCAAGTGGAGGAACTGTTTTGGAAGAGACTGTGGACCTGTCGTCTTGACAGATTACTGATGAATGAATGAAATGTAAAGGGGTAATGTTGTTATGTATTTCCATTTTCCTGTGTAAGCAATCTGTCTTTCAAGTTTATAGATATTTGTTGCTGTTGTTGCTTACTGTTTGCCTTTTATTAGCATTGCTAAGAATGATAAACATAAGAATCATAAGGTATATGACATCAGTTATAAGTGATTCTGTTATTTAATTACATTTATTTTAAGGGATTGTTTTATATTTTCAGTCTAGATCAGGAACAAAAGGAAGAATTGATCCATGTTATTGAGAAACTTCTTTCTGACAAAACAACGTTGGTTGTTGGTTCAGCTGTCATGGCATTTGAAGAAGTATGTGATTATTATTGTATTTATATAATTTCTGATTATAAATGTGTTCTTATTAAACAAATATTATGCAAAATAAGGAACAAATGAAGACCAAGAGCTGTTCATTGAAGGATACTGAAAAATTTACGTGATAATGGTTGTCAGTAAGTGTGGACCTTTTATAGAGATTCAGGTCATGTAAACACAATGACTGTATGGAGTCTTGTATAGTCAGGGATTTGAACATGCATGTGCTGTTTAAAAAATGTGAAGACCTTTGTACCAACACATGCACAGATGTATGATGATATTATGACCGTTTTTCTTAATGAAACACAAAAAGTGGAATATAAGTAAAGTACAGGGCTACTATAAATGATTCATTCGTTTTTAAAACACTATATTTTCCAAAGCATTACACTTACAAAATGATTGATATATAAAAAGAACCGTAAACTCACCAAGTTTTCTTCACACTCTACAAATGTTCTATGTGTGCCCCTTGGGTCACACGACACATGTCCAGGCGGTAGTTGAGCTCGTTCCACACATTTTGTAGCATCATCCTGTCGGTGGTCATCACTGCAGCATCGATGCATTCCCTCAGCTCTACTAGTGTTCTTGGCAGTGGGGGTACGTAAACACGATCCTTAATGTACCCCAAAAGGAAGAAGTCACAAGGCGTTAGATCAGGTGATCTGGGGGGCCAAGTGAACAGAGCTACGTCATCCTCACCAACATGCCCAATCCAGCATGTCCTTAAATTGCCGATACCACTGCAAAATGCTTTGTTTACATGGCGGTTCTTTTCTGCACTCTCTTTTGAATGCGCGTTGCAGTGCTATAACAGATGAACGTCTCTCATATTCCAACAAACAAAAACTCTTCTGCTTTGTCGCCATTTTGTAAAGGCACTGAACTCATGCTGCCATCTGGTGCACACAATACAAACTTGGTGAGTTTATGGTTCTTTTTATATATCAATCCTATTTATATGTATATTACTTTGGAAAATATAGCATTTAAAAACGAATGAATCATTTATAGTAGCATTGTATTTTGTTTTTGAAAACATTATCTGTAATCTTCACACAGTAGAAAGATTCTTGTTGTTGGAGAGCTGTGAAGAAGTTAATGTGCTAAATATAAAGTGTAGGCGTGGTGGGTCTAACCATATATAAAACATAAGAGATATTTTATATAACTTAAGTTCTATTCTTTGAATACTTGTGTAGGAATTTAGGAAAGATTTTCAAATATGCAGATCTATAATCAGTTTTTAGGTTTGAATAATCGTATGCAAAATTTTGAAGTAAGATGCTTTATTTATTTATTTATTTGGTAACCTGGGCTTGTATTGTGGGTGTTATTTATTATGTCAATTTCTTTCTCTTAAATGTGTAATATGTTGTTCAACCAGTAATACATAATATATTATCAGTTTTTCTGTAACAGGTGTGTCCAGAGCGAATTGATTTAATTCACAAAAATTACAGGAAGCTGTGTAACCTTCTTGTTGATGTTGATGAATGGGGACAGGTCATCATAATCAACATGCTGACACGTTATGCTCGAACACAGTTCACAGACCCGAATGCTGATGTAAGTTGAAAGGGTGCCCACTCATATGACATGTTCCTTCCATTATTTCAAAAGCAGTAGGCGTAAGGATGCTGAGCCTGTATCGGCTGAGTGTGTTACCCAACTTCAGATTATTAGAGCATGTGAATTTGAAACTTGTAATGAAACTGAGGCTGCTGCATTAACTTGATACCGTGTCACCTAGCCAGGGTTCCAGCTGACATTTTAACCTGTAACCTCTCGAACACAAGTCAGGAACGTTACCGCTACTCCAATCCATTTTGAAGTGTTCTCATTGCAAACAGTTTAATTCATAAGCAATAAATAACATTTTACATTATCAGTATTAGCTAAATCTTTGTCTGTAGATGAACCCATTGTTCATGTATTTAAAGATGTGTTTATTATAACTGGTTAGTAGGTAGTGAAACGAATTCATTTTAAGCTATTTTAAAAAGACACGTATAAAGTCAAAACTCTAGAATTCATGTCATTGTGGATCAAGTTAGTAGTTGATTAGTTGGTGAAATTTTCTGCTTTTATGGACCCCAAAGATTTGTTACTGCATTCAGATGGGCCCACCACTGGACTCTATTCTTAGCAATGTGAATCAAGTCCATGCACTCTTATTCTTAGCAATGTGAATCAAGTCCATGCACTCTCATTCTGTTTCTTTAATATCAACTTTAATATTATTCTTGTATCCACTCCTAGTTCTTCAGGTGTTTTTTCCTTGTCAGGCTTTCTGCTAGTTATTAGTCTGGGTTAATTTTGTGCATTTATTACACAGGAGTTCTATTATCAGAGAAAATTTTTGTGTAGAGATAGAGAGCATATACTTGTACATATGTTAGTGAGGCCCATAATTTCTTTGTTATATATAAGTTTTCTTTTTTATAGAGGTTTTAATGGTTGTAACTATTCTTGCTAAACTTAGGATGCTGGTGAAGAATCACAGAACAAACCATTTTATGATGATGATGGTGATGATGATGAAGAAGATGATGGTGAAGAACAAAAGAAGGAGGAAAAGACAAAGAAGACATACACTTTGGATCCAGACCATCGATTGCTGTTGAGGAACACTAAGCCACTTCTACAGAGTCGTAATGCATCGGTAAGACATGATTTTGTTTTGGAACTGGGCACCAGATTTTGGTATAAACTTCCATAACATGCTTCTTGAGAAATTATTAGTCACTCATTCTAGAAATTCTTCACTTTTTATTACACGTGAAGGTTCATTACTGTGTAAGATCTTATAATATGACTGCAGTGACATTCCTACTTTCCTTTTTTCCTTTCATTGTTTTTTAAAAAATGTCAATTTAATTTCTGAAAATGAACTTGTACTGAATTTATGTATACACAGCCAAAATTAGCAGCAAAATCATAATATACAAATACAATAAATAAATTATTAAAAAAATATTCACAAATTTAAATAACTCAGAAACAGCGTTGTCAAAGAGAAGAGTTTTGTAGTGAAATTAGGAAAAGAGTAAATGTTGAAATTATTGCAATTAATTAAATGAAAAAAGTGTTATCATCCTATCTGATTTCCAAGTCACTGAATACCAGATTATATAAAATACCATTTGTGATTTGTTTCTGCTTGGTTGTGAAATGTGGGCTTTTATTTTGAGGGAGAAACTTAAAACATATGCGTTTGAAAAGGAAATATTTGTAACTAAACGTAAAGAGTAAGTGGGCACTCTAAGATATCACATAATGAGGAACTTTGTCACATATACAGGTCACCTAGTAAAGTTGTGAAACCTAAATGTGGAAGGAGATGAGAAAATAATATTAATATGATTCTTAGAGGTATAGGATGTCAAGATTGGAGATGGATGGCGTAGTATCAGGTTCAGTGGTGGGCTTTAGTACTGTGATGTGGAGTCTGTGTAGGTTCTGCTACCACAGTATTAATTTAGTTAGGATGTGGATATGTGTGTGTGTATGTGTATATTGTGGCGTGTTTTGCTACTGAAGACAACATTCAGATTGTTAATCGGTTTATTCAACAACCTACAAGTCTTGGCTACAATTAATTATAACACTGTTACGGGTTTACACACTTTACAAACCCTATTCACAAATCTCTTCATACTATCATGATTCACTCGTTACAACTGAATTCGGCGACTGTTACAATTCAACTGTCTTCAGCGGCTGCTACATTTTAACTCACTCCTTAAAAGTCAAAGTCACATTGCGACTGACGGTTGGTCAGTCAGTAAGTCTTGATGTCGAGCCCCATCTGGGGCTCATGACCAGATATTAATTATTACCGTTTGACAGTTACAGTTTTATTTTCGTGGGGCGCCCTCTCTGACGAGAGGATGGGTCTGTCTTGTTCATATGCTGCTGGCCCTTGCCAGAGTGATCTTTCTCGGGTCGGAGTCCCTTGGGACTCGTGACCATATTTTACTGTCTCAGATATGAGACTTCCCTTTTCGTCGCTTCCTACGACTTGCAGGGTCATGGTGGAGGTATTCGACCCTGCCTCCACACGGGGAAACTCACTCCTTAGGCAGTGAAGTTCTCTTATAAACCCTCAGCCAGACAACGGGAAAACGCCTCGCTTCCTTGTTGCCTAGTCGCTGTGTTTACAGGTGTTGCTAGGGAATGCTGCTGAGAGTTGTTTACTGCTGCATGGCAACCGCGGCATCCCCCGTTACGTCACCGCAGGGGAGGGGGGGGGCGGAGTCTTGACTGGCATGTTACAGTAGTAGCAACAGCACTTTGATGTTGTTATGGCACCGCTGGCAGGGTAGGGGATGTCCTCCATAGCGCAATATGTCACAATATGTATGCATGCATGAAATGGTGTATAAGATTTATTTTTGAGACATTATTTTGCATGTTACCACTGTGCTACTCAACCTTTGTTTCTGTTGCACTTTTTTTTGGGGGGGGGGACACACAGAAATCCCCATTTGTTTCATGTTGATCATTATAATATATTTCTCTCTTTTCTTCTAAGGACCATAGTTATGTTTCATAGTTTATATTTATTATGATGTGTCATTACCCCTAAATACATTTGCTTGTTGTGAAATATTTCATTAGTTGTTAATTGTTGGTGGAATATTTGCTATGTGCAGGTTGTGATGGGAGTAGCCCAACTCTACCACCATTTGGCTCCAAGGTCGGAAGTGATGGTTGTGGCAAAGGCTTTGATTCGTTTGTTGAGGTCACACCGAGAAGTTCAATCAGTAGTTCTAAATTGCATAGCTTCCATCTCTACTCTAAGAAAGGTGTGTACTTTTACATATATCTCGCTGGAAGTAAAGAACAAGCATGCGTCTTGAAAGGCTGGACTTCTGTCTAGGGAGGGGGAGACGAAGAATGCATACAGACTTTTGCTGGGAAACCTGTGGGAAAATCATCATCATCAGTAATCTGTCAGACGACAGGTCCACAGTCTCTTCCAAAAGAGTTTCTCCACTTGATGCGATCTTCTGTTTTTGGAAAGAGACAGCGTGGGAAAATATCCAGACTGAAAAGAGGATGGAATCTAAGGGAGACAGTTTGTGTGAGTGGAATATGGATGGAACTGTGTGCAGTGGAAGGTTTTGATATTAGCAGGATTAAAGCATTAGAATCTTCTTCTACATTTGTTATTTCTATGAGGCTTTGATCATATTGAGAAGAAACTGTGTGCTTTGTGCGCATTTGTACAGAGTGAACATTTCTTTCAGGGGATGTTTGAACCCTTCCTGAAGAGCTTCTTTGTAAGGACAAGTGACCCAACTCATATAAAGCTTCTGAAGTTAGAAATCCTTACTAATTTGGCCACAGAAACAAGCATTTCTGTGATTCTTCGAGAATTTCAGACTTACATTTCAAGTCATGATAAGGAATTTGTTGCTGCTGCTATTCAGGCTATTGGAAGGTAAACTTCAAATATTTTTCAGATTTTACATCATGAATTTTCAGCTAATTTACTTAAATTTGTTGGAATTATGCTTGGTGTCTCAGGCTAAGCACATTCCGTTTTCCCATGAAGGCTGTTCCTTTTTTCCCATTTATTTGCATGGTAATGTAAGTACAAGGTTTGGACTGAGGTATGGGTGTAGTACTGATATAATGCCATCCTGCCTCTGCCACTTCACCAAGTGCATCCAACTCTGTGTAGTAGCAGAGCCTCCACCACAATGGCTCTGTGCTTCAAGAATGTTGAAAGAATGAACATGGTTTAGTGTCTGTAGTGCGATGGCCTCTGTTCTAACCGTTGTAAGAACTGCCACATCATTCTGAATAACTGAGGTAATTATATCACATTCTTATGTTATTTGGTTATTAACAGGACTTGTTATAAAATTGTAATTAAATTTGAGTAAAATTGTACAAATCCAAGTACTCATTTTTTGTGAATTTAAAGCCATTTTCTACTTCATTCTCAAAGCAAAACAAACTACATGGTTTTAGTCCGCAAGCGAACTATACCAGCTGAGCGACTGCCACTTGTTGGCAAAGTTAGTGCCAACTTTAGTAGATAGAGGATGTCACGTGGTCAGCACAACAAATCCCCATGGCCGTTAATTTCGGTTTTCTAGAAAGGAGCTGCTATCTCCTTGAAATAGATCTTCAGTTGTCCTCATGAGGCTGAGTGGGACCCTGTTTCAGACCCACTACTACTCAGAAAATCTGGTAGTGCCCAAAATCGAACCCAGGACCTCTGGATCTGTAGCCAGGAACTCTGACCACTAGACCACAGAGGTGGTCCTACTTCATTCTCTGGTTATTTAAACTGATTAAATCTTCCCATGCTGTTGGTTAAATAGAGTAATATTACTTGCAATATACCTGCTCTGTTGGCTACGGCATAGCTCAAGCAGTTAGTTGCTGGCTTCACACCGTGGTGGCCCAGGTTCAGTTCCGTCTCCGGTCAAGTGGGATTTGTGGTGGAAAAAGTGGCGCTGGGGCAGGTTTTCTCCGAGTACTTTGGTTTATCCTGACAATCTTCATTCCACCAATTGCTCCACAATCACCCTCACTTATCATCTGGGGCTGGTACAATAGGCCAGAAGTGGCCACAGTACAAAGGACTTGGTCCCACCCCACTAGCAATAAAAAATACTTGCTGTGTTGAACTATAAAATTAATACTGAAATCCCCCCCTCCCCACAAAGAAAAAGAAGAATTCTGCTAAGTTTTAGGTGTAACAGATATTTAAAACATAGATGTGGTACTTTGTATAATTATTATTACTTTAATGGTGTTTTATAATTTTGACATTTCAGATGTGCATCGAACATAAAAGAAGTGACTGATTCATGCCTGAGTGGACTGGTATCTCTTTTGTCTAATAGAGATGGTAAGATAGCTCTAGCAGTTGATATATGAATGATGTGTGAAAAGTTTTGAGCCTGAAAGTATTGCTCAATATTTGAGTTCTGCCTGTATAATGATGAAGGTCTTTGGGAAGATTCTGTCAGAACAGGAAGTTTTTACATGCCTCTTGTAATCTTTGAGATAGGAATGACAGTTATCTCTATAGTGCATCAATATTAAGAATAGACTGTTTTTTCATGCACATTGGTCAGTTACATAGATATATTTCTTTTATAAGATGGTAGTAAAAGCAAGTCATAGGTTAATCATTTGGATAAATGTTTCATGGTTGCTGCAGTATGTCTTTAACTTTATGGTGCACCTCTTAAATTACTCCATCCGCTCATCTGTAAGCATGAAAGAACATGAGAGTCATTGAATGGATTTATGTTAAATTTGATATTGGAGTCACATTTATTGAGACATTACAATTTTTGGTTAAAATCTGACAAACATCGAAGACACTTGTGTACATGAAAATAGACGTGCATTTTTACACCTGTTGCAAGTGTAACTAGTTAAATATTCAGTGGAGCGAAACATATTTTTAAAAAAGTTGTGGAGGAAAGTGATACAAGTTCTATGACTAGCACATCTTTTTTATAGGCCTGAAGGTTTTCATGAGAAGAGTTTTAATTATTATTTTTAGGTTTTACATAATATGTTCACCTCTGAAGGGTGTGAGGCTGTCACACCAGTGACTGTGAAGATCACCATCTTCTGGAATGTGGTGCTGTGTATTCTATTAGAAGTCCAGCAGTGTTTCAGAGGAACATACTGCCTCTGTCTTCAGGGACTGAAAGTAAGCTAAGTAAGCCAAGCAGGTAACCAACAGGAAGCATGGCCTACTCTTTGACCTTGAAGATGGAGGCAGTATGTTCCCTTGAATGGTGAAGTTTTATGAGAGAGAGATTATGATTAAATTTTGTATAGAAACTTCTAAATAGAAGGTGACAAAAGGATAATCTTTTATCGTGTAGTTAGAATTGTTGTGTCAGAGAAGACCTGTAAGATTTTTAGAAATATTTTCATTACATTGAAGACGATGTCTTGAATGAAAGAAGTGAAACTGAGATTTAAGTGAGACAAGTGTTACTTATTATTATTATTCTTTCTTGTGGTAAACTGTTGTTGAGAAAGTTTTTGCAGCTGAAATGTATTTGTGGATCACCGACAGTTACAGAAGGTGCCATAACTAAGTAAAGAAGGGGGTTATTAACTCTTACCATGTGGGCTGTTTATTAAGGAACATTTTTATGTTTACCTAATTCCATTGTAACATATAATTTCTAGTATTGAAAAGTTGCAGATTGAACTTTAACTGTTCAGAGATTGTGGGAGATGGTTCACTAATAAATTCAAGGCACAAGGACCACTGTTTTAAGTGAGATATCTTACATGTAGGATGGAAATCATTAAAGAGAGATTTTTTATTGTTTTTTAATGTCAAGCCACACTGATATGAAATGTGAATGTTTTTTTTTTAACGTTGAGGGTTATTTTAATGAGACGTAATATCATCTCCCAAGCGGTTAGTCGCTGGCTTCACACCATGGCGGCCTGGGTTCGATCCCGGGTCTGGTCAAGTGGGATTTGTGCTGGACAAAGTGGCACTGGGGCAGGTTTTCTCTGAGTACTTTGGTTTCCCCTGCCAATCTTCATTCCACCAATTGCTCCACAATCACCCTTGCACATCGTCTGGGGCTCGTACAATAGGTCAGAAGTGGCTGCAGTACAAGGGACTTAGTCCCACCCCACTAGCAATAAAAAAATAATATCATCTCATTTGTCAGGTGATCATCCCACTTTTTCTATGCAAGCGATGACTGTTAAAATGGGAGACAGAGACTAAAAGAAAGTGATGTACCATTCATATTCCACTGTCTTACTCATCAGATTGGTATTGGTTCAAGTAACAAAGGAAGATGTGTTTCACAGTCCTAACAATACTGTGTGAGAAGAGCAGAAATTATGGATTTGTCCATTCATTCTTATGTGAGAATAAGTCTGGTGAGAAAAAGTTCACCTCATATATTGCCCACGTTCAGTAGGTCTAGGATAGTGTTTTTGGAACGCAGAGTGCGATCTTTATGCTTCCCACTTGCTCAAACAATGATATAGTTGCACTCACACAAATTTAGGGCAGCCACTCTAAAGCATAAACTGCAGTAATGTAATTCCTTTTATGTACAGAGGCAGTAGTGGCAGAAAGTGTGGTTGTCATCAAGAAATTACTTCAGACACAACCCAGTGAGCATAAAGACATTATTATTCATATGGCAAAGTTGGTTGACTTCATTGCTGTTCCCCAGGCCAGAGCTTCCATACTGTGGCTTCTTGGGGAATATTCAGATCGAGTGCCAAAGATAGCGCCAGATGTGCTGCGTAAAATGTCCAAAACCTTTATCAATGAGGTAATGAACTAGTCATAAAGGAATAAGCTACATAGTGAAGTATTTCTGTTTAAAATATGCATATTAGTTCATGCTAGAAACATTACTGTTGTTACTGGAGGTTGATTCTAAAGAACCTTAGGTTAAAGAAGACCAAATCTTTCTATGATTAACTAATTACAGTCAACTCTCAATTATCCGGGATAATGCGGGGCATGGAAATCACGATTAATCAAAAACCCGGTTAAGACAAATGTTATTAAAAGTAGTACTGTAATACTGTACCTTCATAATACTATAGGCCTACCTGTATTTAAATTTACTCAACCGCATTTTTATGTCATCTCATGGACTATTGAATACTTTTTTTACATTATACTGAAGTGTGAATTAGTTATTTCAGTCACAGTGTTCAACAACATCCAACACTTTTTACGAATATTCACACTTAACACTTAAAAAAAAATTAATATTGTCGTTTGCTTTTTCGTGGCATTTTTCTTTTTACGGATATCCATACGAAGCCTACGTAATATTTGCTTGTCACTTAATAAACTGTTCTCTTCACTCTCAAGATAGTCTAGTAAGGATTCCAAATGATTAAGAGCAGCACCATGTGATATTTTCTTACTAGCAGCACTGTCCACCTCTTCCTCATTCTCACTTTCTTCCCACTCTTCTGNTAGCCCAACATCACAATCACTGCACCAGTACACGGTTTCTTTTCTTCTTTTGTTTTTTGTACACACTACACATCGCCTTTGTGGTCTAGCCTTTTTTCCTGATGGGGGAATTTTACTAATAAAATGTCTTTCATGAAGCCAGGGGATAGTGTTATCTGATGAATGACGTCGACCTTGTACTCTACGTGCTGCCTGCTCCTGGTCCATAAACTTCANTTCTTAGGTTGCATTTGGTTCCAAGAAAAAAGGACCCTCTTGTTTGACTACTTCATTGTGTCAGCAGACTGTACAGCAACCCATTCAAGGAAAACCTTCGTCTGGGGTTTCAGTGAGTGACTCATATAGACAAGCAAAGACCATAGAGTCGAAAGATATATAGTTTTATACATTTTCCTTACTTAGAATTTGAAAAATTTCAATGCAATCTAGGCGCAATGAGACAAAAGTACAAACTATTACACTAACGATATAAAATAAAAATACCTTGCAAAAAGTTCATTCAAAATAAATAACTCATATACCAATTGAAAGATGAAACCTTAATCTATGTACTCCTGAAAAGAAAATTGGAATATCTTTCCTCGTTTTGTCAGCAACGTCCTTCTAAGCTAACACTGCGCAGGTCGGTGCACTGCACAGATGTCGGTGGCATACGATTATTTAAAGAGTCGGTGCAACACACGGATGTCGGTGCGGAAGGGTTAACACAACATGCTTCCTTTTACACCCCGACATTTTGCTAACACACTTGAAGATCGATACAAAGAGACCAACTGGGGCGGTTTATCTGTCCTTGAAACTTTCCACAAATCCTTGCATTCTTTCACCCCTACCCTAGAACATTGTGTTAGCATAACAGGACCAAAGAATGCAGAGCTCGGTTCACACTAGTGTGAAAATAGTGTTACAACTCACCATGTGAAACAAAAGTGAATGAATATTAAACAACATATAAGTCTCAAAAAGCCTCAGTAGCCCCGGTTAAGCCGCAAACCAGTTAATCCGCCCCCGAATAATAGAAATTTGGCTGTAAATACTTTACTAAGTAACTAAAACTTACTCCATTGAATAGTGTGCTTGAGAAACTGTTACTTGATCAGCTTATCAGGAAATTTCTTACCTATTATAGAACTTAGAGGTTCATTACAAGGTACATATGAGTCCATTAGCAGACCTTGTACATTCCCTCCCAGTTTTTATAAAATCCGTTTTAATATTATCCTCAGTTCAGTGTATTCTTAGTAGAATGTTATGCACATTTCTTATGTTGCCCAAAGTGTGCTGCATGCCCTGCCCATATCTTATTTATTCTTAGTTTGTTTGAGAACACATTCAGTAGGTCAGATTATGTAAAATTGAATATTTGATTATTTGCAAATAATGAATTGGAAAGGATGTGGAAGGAAGATTTGAACCCGGAACTTCCTGAGTAAGAGCCGCACTACCCACTCAGCTGCAGTATTCAGTCAGTTATACAAAATATGGAGTTCCTCATTATATTATGACAGTATGCTGTTGTCTAATTCTCCAGTTACTTCCTCTCATGGGTTACAAATATTCTCCTTGGCACCTGGTCTTCAAAAGCACCTCATTGTTTTCTTCCTCGTAGGGTCAGCATCTAAGTTACACCCATACAAAAAAAAGGCGAATATAAAAATGTTTTATATTTTAATCCTATTTTAATGAAATCTTTTCCTGGGTTTTAATACTGTAAACTTCATTGTATGAAGTCTAATTAAAATATTCTCTGTTATTAATATGATATATGTTACGCTTCTGTCAGAATTACTGTACAGTAATGTTTAGGAAAATTATCATTCCTTCTTTATACAGTTTGCATATGCTAAGTTTACATTTCAATATTTCATACTTCACATTTTCAAAGATCAAGAATGAGATTCCCTGATAACTACCGTAGTCAGTTTTATCATCCATTTATAAGTAGGTACAGTAATAGATTCCATCCACTGCTTGACACTTCTTCCTTAATGCAGACACTATAAATAGAATAAATGATCTTGTGAGTGTATTGTTCTGCATTCTGCTTGTATTAGTCTGCTGGAATTTGTTCAGTCTTGGTACCTGGCAATTTATACCTGTGCTAATTCTTAGTAGGAGCCAGGATAGCTGATTTGGTACAGTGACTGGGCTATGGACTGGTTGACCGAGGAGTCCAGGATTGATTCCCAGCAGGGACACTGTCCAGTAGTCCAGCTCTCTGGCCCAGTCAGCCTCCTATACAATGGGTATGGGGGGCTGTGTCTCTGGGAGTAAAGTGTCAGGGCCATGAAGCTTGCCACTCATTATTGCTGAGGTTAAGAATGATGGACTTGTATTACTCCTCTGTATGTCTTCATGGAATGGTGCTTAATCAGTCATGCCCAGGGATAATTTCATGTTTTATTACTACTCAGTAGTAATTTCATCTTCGCCTAAACTACAGTCAAATACTGACAGTTTAGCAGTATGTATTTTGGTGAGCCTAACATTGTTAACTAAAGCAGTTCCTTTGCCTATTCTAAATACTTTATAAGTAGATAATTACATTATTCTTTACATTATTCTTCTCATCTTTTACCACATTAATTCTAAGTTGACAGGCCTTGAATTAATTTGTGCATATGTGCAGATTTTTAATATTTCTGTTCTTAAAGAATGTTTTGAGCTGATTAGTTCCATATTTCACAGACACCCTCTCTTGTTTCTGAATGTTTTATTAGTTTAATGTCCTACCTTGTTCCAGTCTTCATTCATTTGACTTGAGTTCTGCAATCAGTTGTTGTAGCCCATTAATTTTATTTTGTGTATTAAGCTTTCTCCCACCTAAACTTATAGGTTTGCATCTATATGTGTTCAGTTAAAATGTAATTGTATGTAAGAGGATAAGTATAAAAATGTTCTTATTTCAGGAGGACATTGTGAAACTTCAGATTCTTAATCTTGCTGTAAAACTTTATCTTACCAACCCAAAGCAGACAAAACTGCTTTGTCAGTATGTGTTCAGCTTGGCCCGTTATGACCAGAACTATGATATTCGAGATCGAGCAAGGTTTCTTCGTCAGTTCATCTTCCCATCTGCTGGTTTGGAAAACTCCAAATTAGCAAAACATGCTAAGAAGATATTCTTAGCAACAAAACCAGCACCTGTACTGGAGTCAAAATTTAAAGGTAATGTACTGAATAATAAAGCATTTAGTAAATGCAATGAAGTCTGTCTGGGAATTCAGCAGTATTCCATCTGGACACATATGACTGCTTGAGAAGACTCTGTTGTAATATACTGTGTTATCTTATACTATCATCATCATCTATAGAATGAACTTTTCTGTATAATGTAACCATGGGTACAAGGTGCTGCGCAGTGCGCATATTACATGGAATCTTTGTACAATATCCATGAAGTAAAGTAAGAAGAAGTGAAGACTGTTCATTTTCACTTTATGATTTTTTTTTTAATTACAGATATTGAAGCTGGCCCTCACAAAAAGCCAGAAAAGATATTTCTTGTTTTTGTTGTCACTGTTATTACCACTACTGTTATGATCGTTGTTGGTACCACTACTACTATTACTACTGATGTTATTGCTATTGTACTTTGTTTGATGTATGTACAAGTATATCAGGGAGCACGCAGTAGCGTAGTTGGTTGAGGGTCTATGCTACAAGCCAGAAGGTTGCGGGTTCAAGGCCTGATGAGGTCATTGGATTTTTTTCAGTTGACCTAATCCTTCCAGCCGCACTAGGCCCTGGAGTTTACTCAGCCTCTAACAGAAATGAGTACCAGGAATTAATTAAATAATTTTCCTGGGGAGTAAAGCGCGCCCGGCTCGTAAGGCTGACAACCTTACTGCCATCTTTGAGCCAATTGTCTAGATAGTGTGGGACCCTCAGCATCTCACAACCCTATGGGCATTCACGGCCTGGTATAGGGATAGCTTTACTTTACTTTTTACAAGTATATCAGAGATGCAAGTTAATTTTTTATATACAGTATTCTCATGGATGTTGCAATGGTGGTTCTGATGCTGTGTTAACTTCCATCATTAGATGTTGAATGTGTTAGATGGAGCTACTCTAGATTACTGGATCATCCAGTGATCAAGACTAGCTCTGCCTAACTGGCTCAACGGAGTGCCCCCCCCCATACACACACACGCGCACCTGATTATGGAAGCAGACTCAATTTCCAAAACATTGCATGTTTTGAATGCACCAAGATGATGCCTTGTGTTGAACAGAATATTTGTGTAATGAACAGGTTATTGTCACAAACCTTTATAGGCCCATTATATTTCATGTTTTTGTCACAAAACCATAATTGTATTTTCTAGATCGTGAACAGTTCCAGTTAGGTTCTCTCTCTCACTATATAAATGCCCGAGCAAATGGGTATCATGACTTACCCGCATTCCCTGATAAACCTTCTGATTCTTCTGTCCGAGATGTTGAACCAATTGTGCCTGTCCAGGAGACACGCTCGAAGAAACAGCATACTGTAAAGAAACGCTCTTTCTATTCAGAATCAGAACAGAGCTCTCCTGCTGATGAAGGTATTTATTTCAATTGTATGATGTTTTGAGTAAGGAAGTGGGGAACATGCTGTGATTAATATTGCGTTAGTTCCTTAGAATCTTACACGTTACTCTGACAGTGCAACATTTGTCATTCCAGAAATGTATTTTTCTTTCATATTTCTGAATTGAGCTGCCTTATTAATAAATTTAAAATCAGTGTACCTTCTGCTTTGTTAAAATTTGTATGTCCATTTGCATAATGAATTTTTGGTAAAAATGATTACAAATATATTGTGAGAGCATTATTGTTTTGATGTTTCATTATTCTACCTCAGGTTTGATCAGTCACAACTTCTAACCTCTTGCTGTAGGTAACAGAACAACATGGTAGACATTAGTATCATAGTGTATAATGAACATATACATTAAATGATCAGAATACTTCAGGTTACTATGAGTTTGTAGTGAAACAGAGGGTGTATTGAAATTAGTCTCACAGAAATGAAACTTTTCAAGCAAAATTTAAATGAATGAGATGCAGTGGTGTTGCAATGCCATATCAGAGATACTGTCAGTAGTTAGTTTTTTATAATCCAGTTTAATTTTGTGATCTTTCATGGCAAAGGTTATTCACATCATCATAAAATGTTAGTGTCCATGAGAATGTCATCATTTCCATTCATCTCTAGCCACCAATGACTTTTCTGTTCCAAAAGATAAAGGAAATATTGAATGGAGGCATATTGATGACATAAGAAGTAATATGATGGCAGCTCTGAAGGCCGTTCCACGAAACCAGTTCCAAAATTGTTATGAAAGGTGGTCTAGGCTCTGGCATCAGTACATAGCTTCCCAAGGGGAGTACTTTGAAGGCAATCACAGTGATATTCAGCAACAAGATATATGAGCACTTTTACCGCGATGAATTTGCGAACTTTATTGTCAGACCATGTAGTTAGCTCAGAGTTCATAATTGTAGCTTAATTTCTTGCAGCAATGATTTTGAAATGCCAAATTTGGTTCTCAGTTCATTATGATAAGCTCTAATCATGCCTTATGCTTCCATGTTATGTAATTTAATGATGCTGTATCAGGATTGTAGCATTTATAATAGGATGATAAATGAATACGGATGAGTGGTGGAATGAGAATTGGCAAGGGAAACCATAATACTCAAAGAAAACCCGCCCCAGTGTTACTTTATCCACCACAAATGTGTTCCAAAACATACAGGGTCTACACTATGTTCTGTTGATGTAGATTCAGAAGAGGAAAGCAGTGAAGAAGGTACAAGTGAGGAGGATGATTCTTCAGAAGTTGAAGAAAGTAGCAGAGAAGAGAGTGAATCAGGAAGCTTGGAAAGTGATATACAAGAACTGGGAGAGAGAAAGGGAAAAATGGTATGGAATAAGTGTAATAAGATGGTTAGAATTTTGTGACAGAGCAAAGGCTAGAGCAAGGGGAGTACACAAGAAGAGACAGATGTAGTCAGAACTTTATGGCTTCCACTTTTGTAAGAGCTTACGCTGTTGATTTTATTGTCCATTTTGTGACATCTCACCCAATCTGACAAATTAAACCTCTGACTCTCAATCTGAGCCATAATACTTCCTGCTATAAATTCCAAGGCCACTGTGGATAAGTGAAGTTGCTCAGAACAACCCATAGTACTTTCTCAAATGACCACAAGTGTAGATCATGTGAAAGTGTGCTCTTTCCTCTGAATGCTGGTATGTCTATTGACAGAAGTGACTTGCTAATTGACTACTAACAAGAGATAATTTTAGCTGTTGCAGTTTTAACGCAAATATGATGAGCTGATCTGATCCGCTCATGGCATGTGTAGGGTTAAAAAGAAAGAAGAATTGACAAATGTGCCATTAATTAAATAAGGTATATTGCATTTGTTAATGCTGTCTGCCTACTATGTAAGTATATGTTGCTTTATACATTGAAAGGATATCTTAGATGTCATGGGTCTGGAATGGACAGTATTTTTGGTGGTGTACACTTAGTAGGTATTGTTACAATACATATTGTGGCATTGCCAAGTAACAGCTGTTGCTAGAGAACAGCTCTGTGGACACATTTCCCTGGCAATGAGAGAACATGCAATAATGGAAGAGATGTTTTCTGTGTGGCCCGTGCTGGGACTATATAACAAGGACTAGTAGTCTGGTTGAGTTAGTTGAGAGTTGCAATTGTGAAAAGTGGGAAGCTGGGGACAGTTTGGGAACCCAGAGGAAGGGGAATGTCTGCCATTAGAAGCCACTGCCAAGCAGCGGCTAGTGAAGGCCAAGAAAACTTTATGTGTGCTCTAGTTACAAAGATCCTTGGAGTGTGTAACTCCGTGAGACTGTCATAGTTATTCATAGTTACATTCCGTACATGTTCAGTAAGTCCAGTTACCAGCCCAAACCCCATCTGTAGTTGCTCAGTCATGTGACAATATGATTTTCTGAAAATTACTAAGTTCTACGCAGTTGTTGGTTTAGACATATATTATGGTTCCTGTAACATCTATTTAAGCCATTTTTTGCAGGATATTCCTAAAATATTATACAGGTTATTAAGTGGTGGGCATTAAAACAAAATAAAGTGAATTCAACTCACATTGTAATGCCTTGCATTAATAACAGCAGAGTGTAGATGGCTTTTGTGTCTGTCAATAACATTGGACAGATTTTCATTGTGTTCACCATGGTACCTTCAAATTTATTTTCAGACAGAACTGTGTTTTCTGACCTAATATGTACCATTTTATAATTACCAGTTATTAATTATGTTGGTATAAATAGATACATTAAGGTTGTTTTGTTCCTTATACCCAAAATATGAATAAATTTAGGTGAAGTGTAATATTATTATGTTTTAAATTTGAAGGTTGATACAAAACCAAAAAATAATGAAGTAAAGAAGTCAGGAAAAGCGGACAGTAATGAAACCTCAGAAGAATCTGACAGTGATGAAGCTGAGGATGACTCCTCTGAAGAGGAAGAAACTGACTCATCAGAATCATCTTCAAATGATAAGAGGAGACCACCAGTGAAGAAGCTTCATGCCAGAACTGCCAATGATGACAACCCAACCCCAGAGCCAAAACCGAAGAGTAATCTAGACCTTCTGTTAGAACTGGATGATGGTAAGCTGTACATATGCATAAAGTGAAGGCTGGGTTTTCGCATTATAGTTCGGTACTGTATTCAGATACAGTCAGAGGTGTCTTATCCTAATAATAATACTATTCAGGAACATTTATTTTATATTATTCCTGGAGAAGTGGCCTCCGTATAAAGATTAATGTACAGTAAGGATATACTAGTGGGGAGGTTTCTAAAAAGAGCTTTGAGTAATGGATTTAAACATATATTTTTTTATTATTTTAAAATTCTCTAAGTAGCAGTGTTGTTCCATCATACAGGAAGCTGTCTGGTAGGTATGTCATGCCTGTGATAGTTGTATTGTTACAAATTCATATTCTAAATTGAAGTATAATGTGTGTCTAGAAGTGAAGTATGCCGATCACAGTGGTCATGCTGTCTAAGGGCCCCCATACACACACAGTTTGGCCTTCCGTTCGTCCTGCACAGTTGAAGACTGAAAGGCAAAACTGATGTGTGTGGTGTGGCCGGCCGGCCAATTGTTTGGACTGTTGGCCTGTAGGAAACCTATCAGTCCGTCAGTTCTACCTACAGGACCATAGCACGTGACGTGTGTGATTCAGCAATATAGGCTGGAAGACCGTGATTGTGGCATGAAGCCTGCCGCTTTATCTGCACGTGTATGGGGAAAGAATGGAAGAGGGCAAACTGGAAAGTTTGCCTGTAAGGTCGATCGGAAGGCCAAACTGTGTGTGTAAGGGGGGCCTAAGGCATGAAGAGTCTTCATGCATAATCGATAATCATATGAAAATTCTGTCTTCTCAGATCTTTTTGTCTTGAGCACTGAATGTGCCACTCTTGTAGTGAGGTAAGCAATTCGACACTGATTTTTCATAGTTGAGTCCTTCACAAGAAAGTAAAATTTACGGGCAGTGCATGCTGAGGTTTACTTGTAAATGCTCAAAAGAATGAATTCCCACAAAATCATGATGGAACTTGTTAAAGCATGATGGATCACAGGTTCAGTTTGTTATGAAAGAAGTGACCCAAGAGATATGTGGTAACTAAGAAAATATGTATGATGCTCAAACATGGTTAGAAGTCGGTACTTGCAATATGGAGGGAAGAAAATCATCATGCTATTCAACAAGTGCTGTTGCACAGCGTAAAGTAGTGCTGTGGTATGCTGTAAGAGTGTAGTAAATTATTCGCTTCAGAACTTCTGAATTTGTTCTAGAACTTGTTTATATGCTATGAAGCACAATTGAAGGAAGAAAAGGGTAAAGTCTGACAGTTTATATAATATATAAGTTTTTTACTTTTTATGGTAAATCATTAATGAAGTTCTGTTCAAGTAGAGAGGGAGAGTCAGCATTGCGAACTCAGAACAGTGCATGCTATTCCCTAGCGGTCATGCAGCAAATTATTGCTGTACTGTAGCAGGTAGCTTGCTCTGTATAAATTGAAAAATACATGTTTCTCATCTTTATAAAAATTAAATGCAACTTAAATGGAGCTGAAAGACCTTCAGACATTGTCTCACAGATTTTTCTCCCCCCAGTGCCACCAGCCATAACACCTGTACTGACACCATCTTTAGGTGGTTTCCTCACACCTCTTTCAGCATCTGTAATGCCTGTTACATCAGCATCTGTTCAGGTACGTAATGTGGTGGGTAATACATCATGTTCTCTTTCTAAGGATCAGATGATGTCCTTAGCACTTAAAACCTCTCTTCCATTGTGGTAACAATTCCAAGTTTTTGGTCTGTATGAGATGAAAGCTGAAATTGTATATATGTGTACAAATTTGTCAACTTCATGATTTGACTGGTCACGTAATGGCATAAGGTAGTTGAATCAATGTAAATAAGATGTAAAGGGTGCCTATAGCATATTGATAGGAAATTCTCATTAATAAGGCCATGACTAAATGTTGTGTATTGTTAATGTTATATTTTAGCTTCCTGTTGCACTGATTCACGTTCATGATGTGTATAGATGATAAATTTTGAAAAGTTTTAATATATAAATTTTATTATTATACATGACATATTTACATTTTAATCATTTTATAAAGGAGACATGGCATACAGTGCAATGGTTTGACGTAAACAAAACCACACCTAAAGATGGCACATTAGTGCTGAAACATGTAGTGAAGAGAAAGATGAAATTGTGTGCACTGTAAGACGGTTGTGTATTGTGTTGAATCGTATTTTTTGTGCTGAATGTTCAAATGTCATAATAGCTGCCAAAATAGTTTTAGTCAGTTAGTTAGTTAGTTAGTTTTGCATAGTGGGGGGTGGAGTCAAATTGGGTCCCGTCGGCATGGCGGCCACTGATTAGCCTATTATACCTGCCCTGGGTGATTATGATGATGGAGAATTTGGTGGAATGAAGACTGGCAGAGGAAACTGAAGCACTTGGAGAAAACCTGCCCCAGTGCCACTTTGGCCCCCTCATATCTCACTTGACCACACCTGGGTTTGAACCCAGGCTGCCGCGGTGGGAAGCCAGCAACTAACTGCTTGAGCTCTGGCGCTACCTTTAGTAGTTACTTAGGTATTTATATAATGTACAACTGAAGTGAGATTTAAGGTCCTCATGGTGATAACTGTGAAGATTGCTGTCTTCTGAGATGTGATGCCATATAGTCTCATAGAAGGTTACCAACTTTTGAAGAATCCGCTGTTCAGGGTAGAATAGTACTGTTCTACCTTAAAATGGAGGCAATAGTGTCCTCTGAAATAATGGTAACATTCTACTAGACTAAATTGTATCACATCACAGAAGATAGCAGTCTTCAAATTGAAGTAAACATAAAACATTTTGGAGCATGCAGTAGTGTAGTTGGTTGAGGCACTATGTTACAAGACTTGTGGGTTCAATTCCTGATGAGGCCATTGGATTTTTCAATTTACCTTATCCTTCCAGCTGCACTATGGCCCTGGGGTTGACTCAGCCTCTAACAGAAATGAGAACCAGGAATCTTAACTGTGGTAAAGGGTGGCTGGCACTTAAGGCTAACAACCTCATGTCTATCTGTGAGCTGAGTGTCTAGAAAAAGTGTGATCCTTGATGTCTCACAACACTATGGGCTCCATGGAGTGTTACAGGGATAACTTTACCTTTTCTACCTTATCTTACTTAGAACATTTGCTAACACAGTATTTTATGTTTCCATAACCACTCTAGGATAACTTCTAAGGGATAAATGAGACAAATTAGAAACATTTACTTCTTTTATTGCAGCCTGCAAGCCCAAGTTTCATTCCCTTGAAAACAACAGAGTTGCTGAACAAGATCAGTGGCCGAGGACTCCACGTGCTTTCCCGTTTTACTCGATCGCCGCACCTTTTCTCACCAGCTATGGTGTCTGTTGAGCTAACATTCACTAACTTGGGTACTGAAGAGCTGAAAGACATCAGAGTTAGCCAGAAGGTAAGCTTTCTTACTCCTTTATTTCATTACTATATTCGGCATATGTACATCAAATATAAACCTTGAGAATACAGTTTCTGGATTCTTTATTAGCTGGGTTAACGTTTTTCTTCAACAGACATACCTGGTATGTTAAAAACATTGAATAAAGATAACAGGAACACTTACTGAAAAAATCAAAGCCCAAACATTTTCTTTAACTACAGTCTAGTTCTTATACTACAGAGCAGCTGAATTCAGTGCTAATTGGGAGACTTAGATCTTGATCAAGTAACTCGCTGGTCTGACTGATGTTTCTTGAGCTTCCATTTAGTATCTCCAAGCAATTTTTAGGATAATATCTTTGAATATGCTACAGATGCTTCATTCCAAATATCTGTTGACATGCTCATTAATGATCATTTGGATGTCCCATTCAACACCAGGGGTCTTACATAGATGATATGCTTTTTTTAAATTACTTACGTATCAGTTAGTTTGCAAAATACCCTATTTATACCACACCCTAATGCAGTTAATGAAAATAGTTTAATGCAATTTTGAATGATTAAATTTAATGCATAATCAATGAAATGTTACATTTTTATAGGACTTAAATATTGATTTTCTTATTGCAGACTCTGCCTGCTGGTATGTCTATGCATGACTTTGCAACAATCTCAGTTCTGCCAGTAAATGCTACTCTTCCTGGGACAATTGGTGTGGATTTCAATGACTCAACACAGCCAGTGAGCTTTACCCTCGCTGTCGGAGAAGTGCAGCACAACCAAGTCACAATCAAAGCTCCAGTGGGCGAGTTGATTCGAGCAGTCACCATGCCAGAACCTCTCTTTATTTCTGAGCAGAGTGAGTTCTAGAATATCATCAGAATCTTGCAGTTTATCTGGAGAACATAGAACATCTTCCAGCTTGTAACTGTAAATTAGTTTGATTTAAATTGAAATGGGACAAAGGTTACATATGAGGAAAAGATAGAATGACTAACAGTGAGTGAAAATTTAACAACCAAATATGAGTTATTGAAGACATTAGATTGTGATTATGTAGGACAGTTAATGCAGACTTTGGTGGTGGTTCATGTGAGATTAATAGTGTCAATTAGTATGAAATTTTTAAACTTTTGCTGTGACAGACACAATAAATTTTGTTATAACCATGCAGTGAGGCACTATGAAAATTAAACCTACAGGTTGCTTTCATAGTTATTGCTTTTCACCACAGTAAAATGTTAATGGGCCATTTGAGGCTAATTTTCTTTTGTCTTCACATGATCCTAGAAGTGGCACCAAGTGTCACTATGTAGATTTAGCTGTTTGTAGGGAAATGGCAATAAGAAGTTGTTCCTAGAGCTCCTGATTTTATTACAGTTACTCTGCTCTGCAGAGAAAACCATGGTATTCCAGGTTGTGCCACTGTGAAAACCTCCAAATCAACACCTTTCCTTTATTTTTCAACTGATTTTGACCATATTACATAAGGAAGTCTTGATTAAATTTATGGGGGGACCTTCATTTGTGGAGTATGAAGCTATGATTGTTTGCTGTTTTAGAAATTCCATTTAATTTCACATGTTATCCTAAAAATTTGTTGTACTTCTGTATTGAAAGATTATAGCTCAGTCAGTATAGCATCTAGGCTGTGGGCCGGGAGTTGATTCTAAGCAGGACAGGAGATTTTTCTCTTCTCCACAGCAGCTGGACAGGTTCAGAGGTCTACCCAACATGCTATCCAGTAGGTACCGGGGGCTGTTTCTCCAGTGATAAAGTAGTCACATTATGAATCTGGCTACTCACCTCAGTCTAGTTGCAAGGTTAAGAATTCATGGAGCTATACTTCCATTCTTCCATACATATTCATGGCATAATGTTTAATTAATTATGTATAGGAGTAACTTCACCTTTACGTCCAAATGTTACAGAAGACTCACGTAGCAAGTGTATAAAGTGATCACCATCTTTAACCCTTTTGCGCGGTCATTTAAATTCCGCGGCCGTCTCTCCGGCGGTAATATATTCAGCCGGCCATTTAAATTTTGCTCGAAAATGATTTATTCATCATTGTTCTTAAATTCTATGAGATAGGAACATGAAACTTTCACTAAAATGATCTTAAAAGGTGGTTTTATAACCTTGCCTTATAATATGAGCGCCCGGTATCTCGGCAATGGAAGCAGTTGGTTTAGAATTTGAGCAGTGTATCGTACGCCTTGAAGCATGAAACTTTCACTAAAATGATCTTAAAAGATGGTTTTATAACCTTGCCTTATAATATGAGCGCCCGGTATCTCGGCAAAGGAAGCAGGTGGTTCAGAATTTGAGCGGAGTGTGGTACGCATTGAAGCATTCTACTATACACAGCGCTGTCTCACATTCACCACACCAGTACTGCGTATCTCTCATTTGGCTCTTTTTTCCGTAAACCAAACATCTTCTGTGCGGCCTTGCCTTCTTCCCCGTGGGGGGAATACAAGAATTAATGTCTCTCCATGAGTCATATCGCTAGCCAGATTAGCTGCAGTAAATTCAACCTTTATGTTATCATAACAAGTGTTGGTGCTTCTGCGTTTCATTTTCCATCCATTTTGGCGGCATAAGACGTCGTAGGGGTGACCACAGAATTCATGAAGTTATTCTAAGAACTGGCTGGTATGTAGTGAACGAAAGCAGAGCTTAGCTGGCTCAAAAAAATATTTATGGTCATCCCTCGAAACGACCACCAAGGTCAGTACGATAAAATGGAGTCAACTGGAGCGATAATACATGAAGGAATGAGTTCTTTTCCCTCCCCCACACACACCCGTATCGTCACAGGGGGTGACCACAGTGTTCTGCCTTAATTTGTGGCGTTTTTCTAAGAACTGGCTGCCATGTACTGTGCGAAATCAATCGATCTTGCAAGAATAACATTTGGACATCCCTCTTCTAAGAATTCCAATTGAGTGTGTTAGTGTGGCCAGCTCAGGGCAATATGATATTATAAACACAGCACATATCACGTCTCTGCTGTTTATAACTTCATAGCAAAGAAAAAACACGCCATTCATAACAGTTTGAACAACTAAACCTCTCCCAAGAGCAACAGGAACTTTGCTGCAAGACAGGCATATGTAACGATGAATTAGCGCAGCTAACTCGTGTCTCATTAAATACGGTTCTCCTGACAACAGGCCAGCGAAAAATCTAACAATCTACAGCAAAACGCTCAATTATTATGGGCGTTATAACATAGGTGTGCAGCTGGACGAAACATAGACGTCGAACCCCTGCAGACGATTTAAATACCTGATGAAACATACACGTCAAACCACGCTGAATGGTTAATCTTGATTTTATAAGTGGAATTGTTTTATCTCTTGGGAATGAATGTTAATAACTGTTATGTTTCTTTGTACATTTGAACCCATTCAGGAACTGTGGAATCTGTATGTGGCACCCAATGTAACGTTAAAGAACTCTGCATTTTTCCCGTGGGTATATTATGTTCCATAAGATTCTCAGACTATACAGCTATTACTTCCAAAATAGTGTTAACTCTTTGGCCTTTGTAATGAGAAACCAGTTGTTTTCCTGGGTGCACTGTGGCCTTGGGGTCGACTCAGCCTCTAACAGAAATGAGTACTAGGAATCTTCCTGGGAGTAAAGGACAGCCGGGACATGAGGCTGACAACCTCACTGCTGTCTGTGAGCCAATTGTCTAGAAAATGTGGGAGCCTTGACATCTCACAAATCTGTGGGCCTCCATGGCCTGCTACAGGGATACGTTTACCTTTTACCTTTTATGTAGATGAATATCACGCTTCAGAGAATTAAAATTCATTATCTTTGTAATGCTGTTTGAAGCCTCTAAGTTGGATGCATTATTAATTAGCAGATGTCACCTGTTTATAACTTTGCCTGAGGCTTAGTTAAAGTGATTTCAAATGTTATGAAAGTTTGCGAATACTGATTTATACACACATATTGTGAGATACAGAGCATGAAATTTAAACAGATTTATTTGAATTAAACTGAATATCTTGTTGCACACTCATTGCAATAAAAACACTGGCATTTAATTGTAATGTAAGCAGAAGGTTAAATGCAGCACATAATGGTGTAATGTTTGGATTTTTCTTCATTTATAGGTAAACTCAGAGGTATGAATGAACACAGTGCAGTAGTGAATTTGCTTCCATCTTGTAATGATCAAAAGACAGTTTGTCAGCGAGTCTTTGAGGTATCCAATGTCGCAGCTATCCCTAGCGTTGATTCAAAATGTCTCAGGTAAGTCAGATGCATAGTCAGCTCCAGTATCTGTCGCTTGTTATTGCCATATTCTGATTGTCACTGTTCCCTAACTTTTTTAAATTTAAATATGAAAACAAAGTGGTTAGTAGTCCATTGATTTCTGCAGTTCAATTTTAAACTTTTAAAATTATTTTTATCCAGTTGGATTGATCTCTTCAAGATTCGTTCTCATGTTACATTCATGATCTTCCAAGGATCAGTTTGAATAAATTTAAATGAAAATATATTTGACATGAGAGAAAATAGAAGAAAACCTGAAAATATACTTCTTACGGTACTAAGGCAACTTCAGGAGAATGTTATAAAACAGCTCTTGCATCATGTAGGCTTAACATGGAATATGAACATGAAACTGGAATCATTCCATTTCTGTGCAGCTAACTGTAGTATCTGTGAAGAGGATGAAATGTGGGCTATATATTATCATAAGATATTTGTGTCCTGGAGGTGATGTAATCCAGACATATTGGGATGTTATACAAGACTTCACTGATTGCTGTCAGATGTTGGACAGCAACAATAATGAGAGGTTACAGATTGAAAATTTTCACTTGGAGATCAGATATATGCTTTTTCATGTTTTTTTTATTGCTAGTGGGGTGGGACTAAGTCCCTTGTACTACAGCCACTTCTGGCCTATTGTGCCAGCCCCAGATGATAGGTGAGGCTGATTGTGGAGCAATTGGTGGAATGAAGATTGGCAGGGGAAACCGAAGTACTTGGAGAAAACCTACCCCAGTGCCACTGTGTCCACCACAAATCCCACTTGCCCAGACCCAGGATCGAACCTGGGCCGCCGTGGTGGGAAGCCAGTGACTAACCGCTTGAGCTATGGTGCGGCCTAATTTTCATATGGTTACAAGTCAAAATTATTATGTTTAAGAGAAATATTACTAAGAATGAGATATCCATTGTGGTTTACCATTCATTTAAATTTGACATATAGAACCAGTATTTGTGTTTACATATTACCACTCCACAATCCATAGAAGTCTGTGAAATATCTTACCTGCTGTTCTCTTCCATTGTTTGCATATTTTGACATCATAAATGTGTTGAGGAATGATGTTCAGCACAATGCGAGACCCCGTTAGATGAACAGTAAAAGAAATTGCATAAAGCGACAGTATTAATTACCTTGATCATCTGTATCTGACATTCATTCATTCTCCTGATGGTAGAGGTAACTGTGCCAATTGTATGAAATAAATATTGATATGTCATATGTGGGGATTGTATAGCAGTTGCAATAACCAGTATAGCTTCATGTTTGCCAATTCCATAGAATTGCACTCATATATATATATTGTAACATGTTGCGCGACNTGTGTGTAGCTATTTTGAAGATAGGTACAAAAGATTTAATAATACAGAATCTTAAATGACAGATGTTAGAGCAGTGTATGAATATTTTAAGGAACAAAGAACACAAGATTTAGGACTACTTTTTCCCCCAAAAGTTTGGTAATTGTATGTTTATGTTTTCAGGTTTGCAGGTCAGACCTTATCATCCAAGTCTCTGGTCCTAGTAACAATTAAGATACTGGAGAATGATCAAGCCAATATTTCTGTTAACTGCGAAAAAATGGTTGTAGGTTCTATGTTGCTGAACGAAATTAAGAGTCATTTAAGGGACTAAGCAAATTATGAAGTTGGTGGGTACAAGTGTATTACTATTTTTTACAATGTTAGAGTACAAGTAAGTACTGATTGTTTCTTCCCTTATGCATTTAAAGGACTTTTGAATTAAGAAAGAACATTCCAGAATAGGTATGATCTGGTGTATGTTATTTATCATCTTCAAATATTAGTTCAATAATTGATAAGATGTAACAAACCATGTATATGCTTAAGATACCACTTTACAGGAACTAGGAGGAAATGTTCTCAATGATCCTCATGGGCACTCATGATTCTCTGTCATGTATGTTCTGTGTGCATTTTATTCCATCTTAAATATTTCTGTTCATATGATTTGATCCTCTGAATCATTTCTCATTTTGAAGAAAGCAGTCTTCTGGGATTTGGCACCGTGTATATGTGGTGTTAACCGACGTTTCGGAGGAACGTATCGCCCCACGGTCAAACTTGACCGTGTCTCACGGTGTTGTCGCTTGCAGATTTACTTATACTTTTTCTTCAACCCTGAAGATGGGGGCGATACGTTCCTCCGAAACGTCGGTTAACACCACATATACACGGTGCCAAATCCCAGAAGACTGCTTTCTTCATAGTCACCGCTGTGAAAGCCTCAAATCTTACATTTCTCATTTTATTGATAAAATATGAGTTTGGATTTGTATAAATCTCTCGGACAAGGTATGTGAAAAATGTTTTGGTATGTATGTAGAAAGCATGTATTTTAAAATGCAGAACGTTTTTAAAGACAACAGTACCCTCTTACACCATGTCCTAGATGCTGGTGTCCAGAGTGCATGCACATACATTCAGTTCTGTGTAGTACTTCCTTTTACTTCAGTAATACTCATGTGTCTGTTGTGAAGCAACCAAGTCCGTATCAGAAGGTATCATGCCATGATTTTTGTTGAGAATAGTGCATAAAATTTTTGTGTAAGTGGCAGCCTGAAAAACATAACTGTGAGATATTTAAAAATTTGTATTATAATTCTGTAGTCTCAATACTGACTGAAGATAGGTGGCAGTATGTTTTTTGAAAACTGTATAATGTTATCTTCAGCATTTCAGTATACAGTCGAGGCTCTCCAGTCATGTTATGTATGAACAGCTGATTTTCACTGAGAAATCTGCCCCAAGAAGTAATGCTTCTGACTTGTATTTGGGAGGTGACAAATTTGAATCTTGGCCAGGATGCTACCTATCCTGACTGGGGTTTTTTGTGGTTATCCTCAGTCTGTCCAGGCAAATGGCAGGATAGTACATTAAATTACTTCATTAGTCAGTATCATCCAGTCATTCAGTGCTTTTTTGTCCAACTTACTGACGGTGTCATAAATAAGCTATGAATAAACATACTTCATGATTTTGTTTTCCAGTCATTGGCACTGTAATATGGTCCAAGTTACAGGCAGTGCCATTAAATAAACCACATTTTTCAGAACCCAATAACTGCACCTGTTTTTTCATTCTCCAATGTCAGAGATGTATTCTTGGAAGCACAAAGTCACATATGCCCCAAAGTTGCATAGCACTATATTTGTTCACATAATCCAGGTACCTTGTGGAACCATGTGCATACATGCATGCTGGAACATAAGTCTTGGCTCTAACTGAACAAGTCAGGTTTGGGGACAGCCATCAGAAAGTCCTCATGGAGGAAACAGAGATAATACAGTATTGCAAGTTAACTCTTCGAGTGCCAGGCTCCATTTTAGAAATACCTGCTAGAAATGCCAGTGTGGTAGGGTGGGGTGGGTGAATGCAGTTGCCCAGAAAAGCCCATAAAACTTCCTTACAGGATTTTCAGACAACTAGGTGTAGATTGTGCAGGAACTCTTTCTTTCCTCTGAACATCAGTGTAGCACACTTCTTGCCATCTATTGATAACAATGCTGTAATAATTGATTAATGAATTGATCTTTTTGGCTATGGCAGTTTTAATGCAAGTGTGCCAAGCCAATTTAATTGACTCATAGTGTGAAGAGGGTTAATGGCATCTTTATTAGTTGTGGTTATACATATATACATACAATTAAAGATCTGTAAAATACAGTAAAGCTTCTACATTAGGTACCTTTCTATAACATACAATGTTATGGAATTGGAATGATCCATTACAGTGTACTTCTTGACCCTGAAGATGGAGGCAATATGTGGTTCCAAAATGTCAGATGACTTTCACCTCACTTCATGGCATTGTACTCATATCTCAAAAGACAGAACTTTTTGTAAAGTCTCTTTATTTTCTATCCAAAATATAATGACTGTGCTTAATAAGTATACTTGTAATTATGTAAAACCACTCTGATTGTGCTGGAAATAACAGTTGTCTCTTAAATAAAACCGCAGGAAATTAATATGTTGTCTATAACTGAAATATATTAAATGGATATTCCAGAATGTAAGAATATATTGCAGATTATAGAGATACATCACGTAAAAGTCAGTGGCATGGCTGGGCATGTAGCACACATAAAAACAAAACACTAAACTCCATGGCTTTTAGTCCACAAGCAAACTATACCAACACACATACGAGAGGAAAGAAAAATGCATACAAAGTTTTGGTAGAGAAACCTGAACGAAAGAGACCACTTGGAAGACTTAGGCATAGATGAGAGGATAATATCAAAATGAATATTAAAAAACAGCATGTGAAGTTGTAGACTGAATTCATTTGGCTCAGAATGCAGACCAATGGCAGGCTCTTGTGAAAATGGTAATGAACCTTTATGATCCATAAAATGCATACACTAGATGAGTAACTAATGGTTTCTTAAGAATAACTATGCACTATGGAGTTTTTTAAATATAGTTTGTTTTGGATTCACTGTTTCAAATTAATTATTCTTATTGGCTTCATGTTAAGAAAGAAGGTATTGTTGATACGTAATTTGGTACACACGTAAGCAATACATTTTATGTGTAAGAACAGTAAATCACAGAGAATTTTATATACTTCTCCAGTAACTGTAGTGATTATAGCAATTAGCAGTGGATTCTTTTGATTCTTTTGAACCATACTTTAGTAACTTGAATTCTTGAATTCAGGTGGTAGCAATATAAGCCTGAAACACGATAAACATTTTGAAATATACTGTTTATTTTAATTCCACTTTACAGACAGATACATGGAAAACCAGTCTCACTGAAAATAAAGTGCCAACACTTTGTTTAAATTCAAATACAGTATAATAAAGAACAGTTCACATAAAATGCATTCATCTATGTTGTGCAAGAGGTTTTATTTTTTTTTAATTGAACACCTCAGGACAAACATCAAATTTGGGATAAAAATATCTGGGGCCATTAGCAATTATAAATGGCATGCTAAAGTTGGCACTAACTTTGCTGACAAGTGGCGGTTGCTTGGTCGGTATAGTTTGCTTGCGGACTGAAACCACAGAGTTAAGTTTATTCTAAGACGATATCCACATAAGCTGAGTTTGCTTCACTTATACTAGGTTAGGTTGGCAGTCTTAGAAAGAAACTGTGTTCTTGTTTTGCTGTATATTGTCGTTCCTGTTGCAGATTTCATTCATTATGTAGTGTTTTTTTCTTCTTATCTTGAAACTTTATGGCATACCAAATCAGCTTCTGATTCCCTTCCCCCCCAGTACCTTCTATCTCCCAGAATTTATTTCGGTAGTCAGCATTATGTTGTAGGTATTTTCTCAACACTAGTACAAACAAAAAATAAACACAAGTTTATTTCACAAATAAAACAACACTTTATATAACACATGTAATGATGACACACAGAATATGCACTGCTAGAATTTCTTATTTTATAAAAAAATGAAATAAAATAAAAGGTGTGTGTCTCTGCAACTATGTATGTATGTATATGTAAGGAAAGATTAGACCTACGGTATAATCTGTGTAGAATATTCAATAATACAATAACAGCATAAAATTTATACTTCCTGTTCTTCATCTGATATGCATACCTGATACACCACTACAGGAATATCAAATTTGGTAGAGATGTTTTGTGCATTGAAAATTATGAAAAAGTTTGCTGAAGTTATGCCTGTCACACGAATAGATCATTTGAGTTGTATAAAATTATTAATAGTTAGAATGTCCAGAAATTCTTGAATAGCTGATTGACTGGTGGCTTCTTAAGAAGGACTCAGCTCCGTGGAGTTAGTTCCATGACTTAAAATTTGTGACTTAAGACTACAAAATAATTGAAAATAATAAATACTTAAGACACTGGATGTATAAAAACAGTATTGGGTCCATTCAGGTATCAAAGGAAGATCCCAAGATTGGAACAAAATGTGGCAATATATGTATTAAATCAGCTCCTTTTGTGTTATTCATGAACATAACTGATTGGTGCGCCTCAGAATCACAGGTTTATACATAATATAGTATCACCTTACCTTTCCACATTGAAAATGAAATAGGTTTGCTGAAACCAATGTCATTCCCTGGATAGGAACTTGTAATGTTTTGTAACATCCTCATGCCATATCCTTGTCTTCTTTTAACACTCCGGACATATGCTGTATCTAGCGTATGCATGGCATAGTGTTCCATCGTTCTCTCCACAAGTGACCCTGTAAGAATACCTCAGTGTGAATGATTATGAAGAAGAGAAAGCTGACAGAGGGAACAACAGAAAAACACAAACTAGTTTTATCAAATTATAAAAGGAATGATGTGGAACAGGGAGATCCAAAAATGGTGCAAAACAATTCATGAAATATACACGTACTTTAAATTAGTTCTAACATATAATGGTGAAAGAGAAACAAATCCAAGCAGTGGGTATGGAGATTACTGTCTTTTGGATGATATTTCAGTTCACTGACTGTAGCCGAACCGAGTTCGAAGCCGGACGGAGCTTGTAGCTACTCTAACTAAAGTTAAACGTTGTATTAATGATTTTAGGTAACCCTATGGGGCCTCTTTGGATAAAGAATTACGCCACAGGAAGTGCGCAGTTGGATGTAAGCAGTTTCTTCACATAGAAGAGATGACGAAATTAATAACATCACGGGACTTTACCGTGAGGCGAAATTGCCGACATTAGTTTTGAATGTTTTAGAAAGAATGGTATATGATATGGTTGTTACTAGCCAGACCCTATTGGTCAATGATGAAAATCCCCGGTATAAGAACCAATCCGGAGGTACTTGTGAGAAGGTAGTTCCCCCCTGGAACTAGTGGTGTGGGGGCAAGGGGTCTCAAGCTTAGTTACCAATACCGTAATCTCTACACACTCGCTACTTGGTCTTCGAGAAAGTTAGGCGCGTCCGAGGGTGCTCAGCCTACCCTCGTTAAATAAAAGTAGCAATTTACTGGGCCATGAGCCCATATTGAAGTCTTAACTTGGTGCAGTATATGAGTGTAAAATTCAGTGTGTAATAAAAGTGGAAGTCGTCCAAAAGCTAGTCCGGACATCATTTAACAACAGTATCCCTCCTCATGTGACACGTGAACCCTGAGGGAAAGAACTCATCTCTACCAAAACCTCCCCCACTTTCCCATTACCAAGACATCCAAAAACCCTGAGAAGTAACTAAGTCAAAAGTGGTAGGGGAAAAAGGAGTGACCAGCGACGCAGATGACGGAGGCGGGGCTCCACCGCTTCACGTAGAACCAAAGGACGACTACATGACATTTATGAGCATACTGTCTCCATCTTCAGGGTAAAAAAGCAAGCTTTCCTCCAAAGTGTCAGGCTCTGTTTATTGCTGATTTCTCACGGGTTGCATTCTTGGCTTACCCTTTGACACTGAAGATGGAAACAGAATGATCATCTGAAATGTCACTCCACTTCTACCAGACTACAGGGCGTCACATCCCAAATGATAGTACACTTTATAGTCAGCACTGTGAGAACTTCAAATCCAACAGTCAGTAAAGTTTCTGAGAAGTGTTAAGGGGAAAACATGAATAAATAGAATTAGAATGAAATTTTTTTAGAAAAGTTGAAATAAAAAAATGTTGATAGCATAATAAAAAAGTCAGTATAATTGTTTGGTCATGTAAATTGGATAAAACAAGGATACTACGAAAAGCAGTAGAATTAAAATTTAAATGGAGGAAACTTGTGAGATGATGCAGAACAAGATGGTTCAGCCACGCAATAGAAGACATCAAGGAATGAGGAAAGAGCTGGAAAGAAATGGAAAAGGAAAGACTGTTGAATGAAAGAAGAGACCAGATAACTTCTGTCCACTGGCATGTTGACATGTAGAAGGTGAAACTGACACTAGAAAAAGAATATGAATTATAATTCAGATTTAAGCCTTTGTTCTCACTATCTCACTCAGCCTTATGCTCTGGCCGCCCTTTACCCCCAGGAAGATTCCTAGTACTCATTTCTGTTAGAGGCTGAGTCAACCCCAGGGCCATAATGCAGCTGGAAGGATTAGGTTAATAGAAAAATCCAATGACCTCATTGGGAATTGAACCCACAACCTTTTGGGTTGTAGCATGGTGTCTCAACCAACTATACTATCGTGTGGTCTGAAATAATATGGNGTGAATAATCTGAAACGCAAATGTATATGTATGTATGTATGTATATGTCTGAAATAATATGCTACTGAATGATTATTGAGCATAAGAAAAGGGACATCATTATATCTGTGTGTTCCATTCAATGGGCAGTCTTACATGCAGGCCTAAAACATTTCCTGACTGGTGAAAAGAAATGGATGGACAAAATAAAAACTGGCAATGTGAAATGAGCTGAGGATATGTTTCATATCTCACAGAGTGGGAGGGATGTTTTTGTGGATTCAAGATTACCTGGTTTGTAGATCAGAGGTGAAGAACAAGTATTTCAGATTAGATAAGGTATTTTGAGCAGAGAGATCCCGTAAATTGAAGGTAGTGAATGGCTGAAGTTTGGGTCTTTCAGGTCAATGGACTTACAAGTATATTGATAATCATGATGATTGATGAATGGGTCTAAAATGTGACTCAACTGTACTGGTTATTTAGATAATACCATCTCATTCATAGTTGATGTAATGGTTATACAGCCATAACTTGGTTATTTGTTAGCTGCATGTGGCCATGCTATTTTCTCAGGTATGTGTGTGTAGTACAGTAATACAGTTTGCCTCTGAAAAACAATCGTTCATCAGACAACAAGTAAAGAGAATATAACTGATATTACCTTTTGGTTTTATTGTGTAAAATCCAATGGCTTGCCCCTTCAACCAAAAAATCATTACTATATCTGTAGGATCAGGTTGGTCAAAAATTGCTTCCTCTCGTTCTTCTTCAGGAACCTCAAACTGACGATACATAATTTGGCTGAGTGCATAACAGACTACTCTATCTCTTGGAGATGAAACCTAGAAATTATAATTACTTTTTCTATACAATAATTTTACTGTCTTTACCTTGTCTTCTATTAAAGTAGTTGACACAGATTTCCTAAACTGAGTACTAACAATAATTCCATAATTTATTGTCCTTAATTTAATCATGGATATTATTGGTATTTGTGATCTAGCTTCTCCTGGCAAATTTTTATTAGCAAATGTTAGTTCATTTTGAAGTTTGGGCATAATACATGCTAATATTAATTTTTTTGTACTTAAGAACACTTTTATAAAATAATTTCTGTGATTTTTCGTGGTTTACATGCCATCTACTAAATTAACATTACCAGTGCACAAAAGCAAGAGAGTTACACTTGAATTTCAAATATCTGTAACCTTATATGACTTGTAAAAGACAATGGGAACAAAGCATTTTGGTTTAGACCAGTAGTGGTCAAACTACATACTACAAACTGCATACTAGGTATATCAATCTTTCCATGGCAATGTTCAGGTATATATACATAACATGACCCTCTATGAGTATTTATTTTCTCATAAGTAATACTGGAAATTCTCTGTGTACATGGCAGTTGCGTGTTTGGTAAATGCAGCATAAATAAAAAGAACCGATTTAAAATAAAAATCACCACCATCTGCAAGCCAATTTTCTGTGGGGGCCTCAGTGTCTCACAACACTATGGGCCTCCATGGCCTGTTATGGGGATAGGTGTACCTTTACCTTTAAAATAAGGAGTCATGTAAAAAAGGGGGATGCATTCTGGGGCCAGTCCCAACTAGATGGTTGAATTCCCAGATAAAAGGAATGACATTTATTCATAGAAAATATTCATATAATAAAAAAAAAATTCTAAAATTTGATTGCGAGAACCTCAGATCCTGTACTTGACTTTAAATTAACATTGTTTTTATTTACAAATTCTTTGAACTGAATTTTGTTTTAAAAATTTATTTTCACATAATAACTTAGTTTGCTTTAAGGGATTGGCATATACTGTCTCAGATATTTGCCAAGTTGCCTGTTGCTAGACACATGTTAAAGTCAAAACTATTAATGTTTAAAATTGAGAAGTGGAATGCATTTTTGAGGCATACTAATGTAACGGACATGCAAATTAAAAGTGCATAAATTAAGAACCTACTCTCAGTTAACATATCACTGTTGTGTCCATGATGTGTATGTATTGACCGTCTTCTAGTGCACACAATCTCACTTGCCACTTCACTACATGTTTCGGCATCACTGTGCCATCCTCACGTGTGTTATTTACGTTAAACTATTGCACTGCTCGCCATCATGTGTCGTTTATAAAATGATTTAAAATGTATTTTCATCATGTACTATAGTAAAATTTATATATTATAATTTGTTAAGATTTATCATCTTATATGTCGTATTTCAAACTCGCGTATTATGTCATTCTTCCACTAAGGGAGTTGTTCTTCCTATATTTTGTGTATACTGTGTCTTGTGATGTGTCCTTCTCTTGTGGCTGCATGCTAAAATACAACATCACTGTTGCAACTAGGGCAACATTTGGGAACAGGACTGTGATGATGTAATAAGAGCTTCAGAGAACTTTGGACATGTATTTCCTTTACATGATTCAGCTACTACTTTAGGGAGGCTAGTACTATACTGTCATTATCTTCAAGGAATGCATCCTGTTGTATTTTCTATATAACTTCTTTGTTTTGTTTCCATCTCAGCACAACAACTATCAGAAACAGAATGAAGAAGTTATATACTGGCATTAGCCTGAATGGAAAGAGAATAACCATGAAAAATCTCAGTCAGGACATTCAGTATTCTGTAAGTATTCAGTAAGATTCAAACCAAGCACCTTCTGAGTACAGGTTCGAAGAGTTACCACTTGGACCAATTTGCTCTGACATTAGTTGTACCTTATATATCTAAAAGCTTTGAAATTTGCCTCACATTCTATCTCAGTTACAGCATATACCTCAATACTCAGTGGTACAGTTGACCACACAATTTCAAAATTGCCAGACTTTGAATGTAACTTACTTCAAACCACCCATTTCTTTCTGTGTCATCTGTTAAGATATCTTCTGGTGTATTCCATGCATCACTGAAGCTCAGTGCTACACCTGTCAACATGCATTAGAAACAGTATTCAAACCAGTTTACAGATAAAAGCCATTTAATATATGTATGTTTATGCTAAGACCTTGGCTGAAGATACTGTGGTCATGTACAGACAGAACAAGTTACAGTATGACAATAACATCAACTGTCAAATGGCCTCTTAAGTAAAGGAGAAAGAAGTGGGAGAGGAACGACAAGGATGGCAAATAAAAGAGATGGGAAAGGAACATAGTAGACAGGAAGGAAGGAGACAGAGATACAAAAGCATAAATGAAAGGGAAGAAAAGGGCTGAGGAACTGGTTTAACAAAAAGAAAAGCGAGAAAGAGATAAATGAATACACGACAGGAAAATAAAAGGAATAAGGGAAAATGGAGTGAAAGAGATAAAGGTCTATAAGGGATAAAGAAAGGAGCAAAGTGGGTGAGGGATGAAGATATGAAAGAAATGAGCTGTTTGTGTTCTGAAAAGTCTAGGCCAGAGAGATTCTTAACAAGCATGTATTATGTGATCCCATCTTTGTGTTGCTGTTTAGAATGTGAAGTCATAATTTTCTTTTCTATAATTCGCATAGTGGGGGTGGAGTCCAGCTGGGTCCACTCGACATGTTGGCCACTCATTGGACTATTGTACCTGCCCCGGGTGATTATGATGATGGAGAATTTGGTGGAATGAAGATTGGCAGGGGCAACTGAAGTACTCAGAAAACCTGCCCCGGCGCCACTTTGTCTGCCACAAATCCAACTTGATCAGTCCCGCACTTGAACCCAGGCCACCGTGGTGGGAAGCTAGCAACTAACCGCTTGAGCTATGGTGCGGCCTCATGTCATAATTAAACTGCTGTGGCATGTAGACCCATTGCTAGGCAACGACCATGAAACAAGCAATTATACAACAGCCACTGCTGAGTAATGGCTTCGCAAACAAGCATGTTTCTGTGGCAACAGCAGTAATGGGAGGGGCGTTTTCTATGTGGTCCTTGCTGAGATGTTAGTTAGAGAACTGTTGGGGTTCAGTTGTGAGCTGTTGCTGTTAGAAGCTGACACCTGAGGCAGGAGACATTTCGGAGTATGTCTGCTGTTCGAAGCTGCTATCAAGCAACGGCAGTGAAGGCGTGACAGTGGACACCATTGTGTCCGTAACAGTGAACTGTTAAGTGTTGTAAAGCACTGCATCAAATTGTGCAATAAATCAAGTCATCAGTCCATCAGGTGATACCATATATTCTGTAAACATTAAATAAATTGAGACTTTCCATGGAATTTGCAAAGACATTATATGGTACTAGTTACTTTTATATTGTATGACCTATTAGCAATACTGACCATGTAAAATTATGCTATCTATTTTAATCTTCATGGTAAAAATCTGTAAATAAATGTTCTATTTTAAAAATTACATCATAATATTTGTCTCACGTCACATCAAACACAATATAACAAAAAGATGATAGGTATGATTAATTAACTGCACAAACATGATAGCCGGGAGGGGAGGGGATTTTGCAGTTTGGGAAAGATATATCAAACACCAACATAACATGCTATGATATCTTGCAGCGTGCACATTAATTACTGATAACTGAAGCATTATTTACTTCAACTTCCATGATAACTGGAGGAAGAATGAAGTTATTCGGTGACAATTTCTCTGTGCTCTCAAAGTTATTTTCCTATTTCCTTTTAAGAAAACATGTCTCTCCATGAAAAATTGAACTGGAAAACTGCCATCTAAGGTTCCAATATACTCCAGTTCATCAGACCTGAATATTTTCATTGTTTCATACGACATTAATTCAGCAAGTCAGTGACTATATTCTGCTGATTGGTGTTGGATGAAATATATATGATAATTTGATTTGTTTCATTTTTGGTCCGTCACACTAACAGTTACAATTATAAAAGCAAGTCCATCCAGTGTGACTATTTCAATTTTCTCACTTTATGATTCACTAGCCTTACATGTTTTGATCGTTTGGATCATCTTCAGAGGCACCAAACACTTTTTAGAAACCACTATCACAACAGTTGTCATATCAATTACACATGTATTGCCAAGTACACAATGTTCCATCTATCAGTCACAGCAGCCTTTCTGGTTGTAGAAATATTTAAAGTTGTTTTAAAGTTTTAAAAATTTTGAACAATTGTATATATGATAAAGTAATTATATCAATGATATCTTTTCTGGTGGTATATCCTACTGGTATTATTGTTTATAAAATACAATAATAAAAATGTAATCCTTGTATGAACATTGTCCAAAGATATTTTAATATTTGCTATCACTTTTCAAAAACCAATGTTTTGCTTTTCATGTTTTAAATGTCTATGTAAAAGAAAAAGTATTATTTCCTTCCTGAGTTATATTTCAGTATCAGCACCCTTCAGAAACACTGATTATATTATTCTGGGAAGTGTGGAAATATTATACTATAATAATCAGTATATAATTTTACTTACATTTATCACATGAAGAGCAGTTCAGTTGTTTGACCGTAACAGATTGTCCCAGGTCCATTTCAGCTACATGTTCATCACTGATGGACATTAAATGTGAACACCTGCAATCCAGAAACAGCACTTAACAACTGCATCACTTGACATGCAAAGTCCAGGCTACCAATGGTAGCAGTTTCTTGTTAAGAAAGTAAAACAAAAAGCAAGAAAGATTTGTTATAATATAAATTTGTTTTCCCTCCATTCCAGTGTTTCCTAATCTTTTTTCCCATGGTGGTATATTAAAATATAGTTCAAAATCTCTTATCAGCCATATATTAGTGTGCAATTGTGTATATGCCTATATAATTATTCATACTTAGTTATGTTTTCTGTCTACATTATTTTTCTGTTATTTGCATTATAGTTCTCAGAAAAATTTATGGATTACCAACATGACAAGTGTGAGCTAAATAAATTGTTAGGATTAAAAGTTACCATTATAAAGAAGTTGCATATGTAAGAAGTATAAATAAATGTGAGAAATGGCTTGGTAGCAGCAATTTAATGAAGCAACCAAAGTAGAGGCTTCTGAGGTGAGAGAAGACTGATGAATTATTGTTAAATGTTTACAAATATCATGTCATCCCTGGAGGGTAAAGCAGCAGGGGCATGAAGCTGATCGCTCACCTCCATCTAATGCCAAGGTCAAGAATGGTTCAGGTGTACCTCCACTGCACAATATGCCTGTATGGCTTAATGCTTAGTTGCATAATTAAGTACAGAGATAGCTTTACCTTTGTCTGTGTTACACTTATTCATGTTGTCATACAACTTGAGAAACACAGTTGTATAAAACATGTACATGTATACTGAGCTCATATTGGTTTGTCACCTTCCTAAAGCGATGTCTATACATATTTGCTTACTAATATGTTATTTTGCCAATTATCTTTGCTCCATTCCAGAATCAAAATTTAAACTAATGACTTTCAGCTGGAATTCTGTGAAATGCTAGGAATAAGAAAGCATCCTTCACAGAATCTGCAAATAATTTGAATCAGCAGAAGTTTTTCCTAACATCAAGAGCATGTTCTTAAACTGTATATGAAAAGCTGTTACTATTGTAGCAACTTATTACTGGTATTTTACTGTTTCAAATTTCACTCACAAGTCAGATCCACGAAGTAAATGTAGAAATTAAGTTCCATAAGTTCTTATTCTCAGTACAGGTACTCCTCGATTTATGTGAAGGCTAAAGAAAGTCACAGAGGATGATATCTCATAAATCAAATATACGTAGTTTCCCCATAATACTCAATCGGAATGTCGGAGATCTGCTGCACAAAGTATCAGAATATTCTTGTTGTTACTTAAACTGACTGTCTTATGCAGTGCAGTCCATCCTTTTCTTTATGTTATTAATATTTCTGTAGTTTCAGTATTAATACATTTTGTTTATAATTATTTACTTTGGAAAATAATGCTAGAAACTGGTGAGAAGAGGGATGGTATAATATCCTTGAAACACGTACAGAAAACCTGCACCACTGAGTAAAAATCACTTGCCTAGTTGTCCTGAGACAGAAACACACATTCTCCATATACCTCTCTCTCTCTTTGTCTCTCAAATGTAAAGGAATGACATATTATGAAGATGTATTTTAAATATTGTTAAATGGTTTTTAGACAACAGAAAGACAAGCTCTGCTTGCCAGCTACTTTCACACTGGTTTCTTCTTCAACCCTGAAGATGGAGATGACATGTTCTTCCAAACATTGGTTGACTTTCAGTGAACCATACAGTGTTGTGTCCCAGAAGACAGAACTCTTCAATACTGGACACAACTATTTCTGTTTAGTCTCTTGAATATTATGAACACTCTGAACCTTACTTTGAGAGGCTATCTGACTTGGTACTCTTCCTGTACTTAAATTGCCAAGTGGCAAGACCAATGCTCTTTTTGGCTAGTAGGCTTACCAGCAAGCAACTGATGCGTACCGGCACACTTGTCAGATGTCAAAAGTCTCACAATTTCATGGGCATTGTAGGTTTTGAACTTGAGGCAAAACTGAGAATGATAGTACTGGCAAGCACATTTTTAGAAGAAAAACTATCTGAAAAAAAGGTCAAGTCAGTGTTCTAGATTTCGTTGTGCCCATGGTTCAAGTTTGTTTTTACTACATAACCTCATTGGTTAAAATAAAACTAGAGGACATGTGAAATAAGCTTCTTGACATTGTTTCCTATTGACTATTGCTTCTAATGGTATTATCAAAAATTAGAGTTATCCTCACTTTTAGATCTAGTACAATTTATCTGAACAACAGTTAACATAATACTTAGAACTATAAAATCGAAATGAACGACCAACCAGATGAGCTGATCCATTTGGGGCTACTGAAGTTAAACAATGACCCAGAATTAAAAATGACCTTTGTACATCTTACATACCACACTGACAAACTAGAAGGCCAGTTACATGCACATGCATCTTGATGAATGAGTTAGTGCATCTGCATTTCACTGAAACAGCCAACAGCCCATTTGAATGGGATTTATGTTTTAGTACACATGGAACTTCTGCTATAGAAAACTGAACTGTCAACCAGTTTTTCAGGAGGAACAAACCAGAACCCATTTTTTTTTTATTCGCTTAGTGGGGGGGTGGAGTCCAACTGGGTCCACTCAGCACAGCAGCCACTGATTGGCCTATTGTAGCCTGTCCCGGGTGATTATGATGATGGAGAATTTGGTGGAATGAAGATTGGCAGGGGAAACCAAAGTACTCGGAGGAAAACTGCCCCAGAACCACTTTGTCCACCACAAATCCCATTTGACCAGACCCAGGATCAAACCCGGGCCGCCGTGGTGGGAAGCCAGCGACTAACCGCTTGAGCTATGGCGCGGCCTCTCTAAACCAGAGCATATACATGCTCCTATGGGCTTTAACATGGAAGCTATAAGCCTGAAATCAGTTGAAAATAAAGGAGAACTGTTTGAATGACCGTGTAATATTGCTTTGTGGTCAAACAATTTGGTATCAAGAGCCATAACTGGCCAGTAGACCATTCTTTTCTCGGTCCCTGAAAATGGTCATGGAAAAATGTGAGTAGAACAAAAGCTGGAATAAACTCCCGCACAGGTGTATGGTGGACTCCATACTAAGAAAACTTCAAATTCTGCGATACAAATTTTTAAACATGGGTTTGGAAGTAAACAGAACAGTCCTTCACAGATATTTATCCATGTATGGAATCCACTCTCACATCATCACCTTACGTGAAGACATGTTAGTACTGCAGCAATTCTATCTATTTAACCATCTCTTGCAATGGCAGTGAGTGAGATAGTAATCAGAAACATAAGGAAAGTTAGTTAGATTTGACAGATGTCATAAGTACAGGAAACTTGGGTGTTGTGACGTATTAGTGTATTTTATTGTTTAAAACAATGAGGGAAGTGGCATGAGGACGGGACAGATTGAATCACAAATGAACTTCTGAATGTCCATAGTTTTACCCCATTTGGGGCACACTTCTGTCTACAGCTTATTCTCCTTACCAAGATCAATATTGAATCTGACTGATACATTTTGGAAGTTATGGTTAGTCACCGAAGTAATTATGAATAAAGACAATTCAGGATCCGAAACCTGTCAGTAACTTTAACCCATGACCCTGAAGAGGAATACAAATTTATATGAACAACTCACTCATTAGTAGAAGCAACCAAAATGATATACCTTTTCCTTGAAGAAATTTTGAAAACCAAGATTTACAGTTGATTCCGAATATTATGCATCGGCCAGACCATGATCTATATTTTGATTTTAGACTGGATAGGACATTACTTCAGACGTAATATTTAAATTACACCAGAACAAGTAGACGCACATGCATTAAAAGGTTAAGACGTTTGGTTAGTTAAAATGCTTTCATTACTAGAAAAACTTAAATTTATCACAAATTATTCAAGCAGGATGACCTTGAACACTGCATCTCTTAAATTTGTCTGAAGATATTTATTTGTTTTCGAATTAAGACACTAAGGGAACACAAAACGAGAAATGTGGAAAGGTTCCTTGATAATATTTTTTCAATTGTAGTGTTAGATTAAGTAATTGTAATTGTTTAAAATAAATTAATTAAAGTGATAATTCTTATCTTAAATTTTAAACCATCAGATAGAATACATTATCCTTCTAGATGTAATAGTATCTCCTTTGACTTTTAAACCGGATGTGTGAAATGTAAGATGGCTGGTGGTGACTCGTGACGTATAATTTGTGATTGTTTTCGAGGTATATTTATTATGCAAACTGTTTGGTGCATTTATTTGTGACAATATTGATATGGATATGATTGTTACTATTAGTACGTGGTTAGAATAAAATACAGAAGGTAGGTCATTAAAATAATACCATATGCTAGTTAGAATTTCGAACAAGTTTGCTTGTCATATGTCTAATGAAGTTGTGTGGTGTTTGTGGTTATATATCCAATATCACAAATGTAATGTGTTTACTGACGCCCGATAAACGTTATCATAATGTGATAAAATAAATTTTTTGGCTATGTAATAAACTTCATGCATAACTACATGACTTATGATGTGTGTCGCTCTTTTTACAGCCACATTATGGCGATAGGATATTGTATTTCATGAATAACGTCGATTCTCTTTTGTAATATTGTCGTATTCTGCTCCAATTTTAGAATTAGTTCCATTTTGAGACCGTTCTCTGTGAGAAAATAGTTGGTCATTTTAAGCATATGTCACATTTCGTGACATTACCGTTCTTGCTGATAATTGTATACTAATAATGCAGCATAACAGTGTCAGTAATTATAAAATTGAACGTTATTCAGTTTACACATAATTAAATTTTGTCAAAAGGATCTGTGAAAAGCCTGTTAAGGCCATGACAAGTAATCTAAGTGGTCTTTACCCCCATATGTTTTGCTGTTCCCCACCAGCCTTCGTTTTAGTCTGGATCTTCGGGCTGATGTTACAGAATAAAATTTGATAGAACATGAAGAAAGTCGTCTTCTGGGTTTAGGCACCGTGTATTCTTCGTTTTGGCCGACGTTTCGGAGGAACGTAGCGCCTCCATCTTCAGAGCAGTTGAATGGCTTGGAATGCAGAGAGCAGTAGCTGTGGCGCTACGTTCCTCCGAAACGTCGGCCAAAACGAAGAATACACGGTGCCTAAACCCAGAAGACGACTTTCTTCATAGTCATCGCCGTGAAAACCTCAAAACTTACATTTGGTAGAACATGTTTGAATGTAAGAACAGTAAAAATTGCTTCCACCTTTTCTCAAATAGGTCTGCCTAATTTCACTGAACAGCAGAAGTTGCGGAAGGAAGATGATTTAATATGGACTTTTGAGATCTGACCTTTTTGCCAATAAATTTGGATATTATTCATGTTTAGTAGACAAAACATTATCCTACTCTCAAGCCATAATCTCCACAAAGTGTATTTTAATTTTAGGTTACCAAGACTTTTAATTGGTTAAGAAATGGCTATGTAGGTTCCAGACAAACTGACTGTGACTTTTTGAACCTATCTTACATATTTATCTCATGGATGTTTGCAGTGAGGGCTAGTCTGTGTAGGGTTATGACAGCTTATATTTTATGATATGGTAGTGTAACAGTTACTTCATTGTGATCATCATTTGTTAGTTATTGGCTGTGACATAGGTTTTGTTATTAATGCAGGGAAATAATTATTGTGTTGTTATCTTTGTCTTATGTTTGTGAATATCAGGAACAAATATTCTATCCGTGAGATTTAATAGTGTTGTCAATTGTTAATACACTGATGTGTTGATAAAGAATTTAAAGGAACTTGAGGTGCTTTGTGTTACCATTCATATGTGGCATTAGATATTATATTTGTTGATAGCTTGCCATTATGTGGCTATAGTGAAATATGAATCTGTAGGTAAACTTCCATAAGTTCTGGCAGTGGAATGTCACTAATTAATGGTCACAGTAATTTACTTATTGGACAACAGATGTGGCATACCCTTACAGAAATTTTGTGACAAATTTAAGGCCCACATATATGTATTGCTAATATGTTAATTTTAATAAATATATCTTCACATACTCTCATACTTTCAATCCACAGATAGGCAACTTCTCATTATTCCAGACATAATGTATGTAATAAACAGATGCATAATTTTTCAAGACGGTCCTCCTGCTTTTCAGTACGCTTGGTCTGATGTTGCACAAGCATATTGTAGCGTGTTTTGTGTGTCACGCTACAAATAACTTCACGCCGTAGTCTCAATATAGCGAATTTATTATGTTCCCTCACTTACACACTTTACAATCATTTTCGCCTGCAGTGTTACAGTCACTGCTTACAATAACTCGGCGAACACTGGACTGGCTTCACTGGCGGTTTATCGCAGACTATCTTCTGCAGCGGATATTCCAGGACTGGCTCCTTAGACGGGCGATCCGAAGCTTTCTTCTTCAAAGACTATTCCGCCACTTTCTTCTTCGAAGACTATTCCGAGACTGTTTCTCGCTGAAGCCGGGCTATCTATCACCTTGCCCGCTGTTAGGCAACGAACCCTCAGTTATAACCATGGAGACTCCTGTTAGAATTACCATGGAGCAATTGTTGTCTCCTCTGTAACGGTCTATTGTAGCGTTTCCATAGAAGTTACTCCTCGGGTTTGCCGACACGTTACAATATGTATGACATTGGAAACAAATTTTTTCAACTGAATGGCAAGCAATGTATGCACTTCTCCCTTCATGGTTGCTGGGAAAATGACAATGTCTTTAAGGCTTAAGTGGTTCAGACAGATATAAATTGGTTGGAGCAAGGCTAGGGCTGTATGGTGGGTGTTCTAAGATCTCAAAAGCATACATGCTGGAGTGTTTCAAAAGTATGGGCTGTAATATGGCAACAGGATTTGTAATGCAGTAACACATCGCCTTTTGACAGTTGTCCTTGGCATTTATTGTGAACCTGCAACTTCTGCTTGTCATGCAGAATTTTTCTGTAACTTTTCATATTTGTCATCACACCTCTTACCAAATAATGCTTATGAATGGGTCCCTGTGAGATCCAGAACATTGTGAACATAACTTTTGCCACTCTTGGTTGAAGTTTGAGTTTTTTTTTACATTGGATGTCTGGTGGCTTCTGTTTTGTACTCTGGTGTTTTTGCAGTAGCTTGTAATGGATCCATGTTTCATGACCATTGATAGTGCAACTGAAAAAAGGCATACTTTCCCTGTGAGATATTTCAAAATGCTATTGCAGATATCCAAACAGTTAGGCCTGTGCTATTCTGTGAGGTGATTTGGAACTTTCCTTTTGTAAACTCAGGGTGTGAAAACTGTGGTGGGTAGAATCATGACTAATGTGCAGTGCCTTTGTGATGTCATTAGTTCCCTCCCTGTTGTTGATAATTAGTGCAGACTTGTTCACTGTTCCCCCAAGAAGTTGATGTGGGCCTGATTGTTGTTTGTCAGTGACATTTGTTCAGCTGTTTTGGACATGTCAGTCAATTTGTTCATGTCACTATAGTCACTTCCTGCCATACTGCGCTGATAGTCTTTGATTAATTTCTATATCTCTTACACTTTCAGCCCACAAAGATATAATTATTGCCTGCTGCTCTTGTTTCATGCATGGAGTAAGTGGAGTGGCCATGTTGATGCCACTAGTGGTGAAAGACAACTGAATGGTGAAGGTCAAATAGGTTACTATGACAGTACGTAGGTTTTGTGCTTACAGTTGCATATGTATTTAGCAATCGGATCAGTGAAATAGAAGATATGGACAGTTTGTGGTTACGTTCTGACTGAGCCTCTTATTATCATGACACCTATTTATATAGAGTGCAGTAAAACAGGTGATAATAATTATTGACAAATTTTACCCTTATCAGTTAGTATGAAATTTGGTCTGAAAAGTGGGAATGCATTTGGGCAGTATGTCAGTTCAAGTCTTGACTTCAAGAAAGCCCATTACTCAGAAGATAGTATTTACAACGTTCATATTGAATTGGAACATATTCATAGGAAAATAGGCCATGGAATTTGATGTTATCATGACAGTGACTAAAGATTGCTGCGTGGAATGTAAACAGTAAAAAAACTGGCTGTGGAAAACGTTCTAAAGTGCCCTTGTTCGTTACTCTCTTCTCACATCCCTCCACCTGCTACTGGTTTACTCAGATGGCTGCTTTTGTTTATTTTATTTTATCTAATCAACTTTTTGCTCTCCTCCATCCAGCCATGCTTTGTGAATCAGCCTTTGTTAGTGCCTTATCTACCCTCCAATGCTCGCTGCTCTTTAAAGGGCTACTGCTTCCTTAATTTTTTTTTTTTTCCATTGATTTCCCTCTGCCTCCTGTTGGTTCACATTATTTCTTGCTTTCACTTTGCCCTTTGAAAATAGCCATTTGTAGGGCCAATATTTTTTTCCACTGTTACTGCTATTGGTTTGCTCAGGACCCTGCTCCTGGTCCTCCTTGTCACATTATTTGTATCATAGTCACTATGATGGCACACAACAGAACTCACACCCCAGCAAGAACATTCAAGGCAGCCATAGCCATCAAACCAAACAAAACCAAAAGCAACCACTGCAACCTGAGAACACCTAAATATAACTGATGGTAACCCATATAAGCAAAAATAACCAGAGGCAACCACAATAGGTGGGAAGAAAACCGCATTACAGAGTGCAGCAGAATCCTTACCAATAACAACCAGTACACTTGAAGATGGCCAGTTTGGTTGAAACATGCAGTGTCCAATAAAGGAATATGAAGAAAGAATAGTGAATGACGTTGCACATAGACGGCATAAAAGCTCCTAAGACAGGTCTATACAGTACAACAAGATGCTGAAATATAACATTATAATTTTATCTGTTTTTGGTGGTAGTGAAAGTTGATCCCTTGCTATAAAAGAACAGCATTGATTGAGTGTGTGTGCGAAAAAATGCTGACTAGAAATGAAGTAACAGGAGCATGAGGGAAATTACACAATGAGGAGCATTGTCATTTTTACTACTCACCTTGTAGCATTAGGATTATCAGATCAATGAGAATGAGATTGGTGGGACATGTAGCACACTATGAGACTATTTCGTGCAAAATTTTAGCAGGAAACCTCAGAGTTGATTTAGATGTGGATGGGGAGATGGTATGAATGTTAAAATATAAATTAGTGTATGAGGATGTAGGCTGGATTAAAGTGACAAAACATCAACTTTTAAAATATAAACAAAAATTGTGTTGAATTTCATATGTGAAAGAATGGCTGTGTATTATATGTATAGTTTTTCATTTTTGTCTTCAAGTCTTTTGGAGAAACAGTATACTGTGGTATACTGCCAAGAAGAGGCCCAGAATATGACCAGTGTGAAATGTGAAGAAATCAGCAATGGAGATTGTTTGGATTACTGGAAATACCCTTCCCTTTAAAGAAGCACAGATAACAGTGTGAAATTCACACTGTTTTGCCTGTGTTATACCTCCATGATAAGGACAAAGTTAATAGCTTATTGGTCTAATTTTGCTATCAAGTAAATATAGGACTCATCGTTGTATATAGAACACTCAGAATTACCACTGCTCTTGATGGTGTTAATGGTAATGACTTATGATGATGTGCCTTGTCATCCATTTGCAATTAAAGTGTATACCTGATGTGTTCATATATACGAATATCGTGTACATGTGAAATGAACTAAGTATGTCTATTGTAGACTGAGTATGTCACATTTCCTGCTTGGTTAAGGTCATGAGAAGGAAAATTCTAAAGAATGGATGAGAAAAGTGGATTCAGCATTAACATGGTAACTGGATTTTGTGGTGAGATAAAATCAAGATTCTTATTGTGTTAGTCAGTCCGTGAGGTACCCAAAGGGAAGTGTGTAGGTGATCTGCTCTTTAGACTGACAGGAACCTTCTGGTTTCATTTATTCAAATCTTTGCTCTGATTTTTTCATCTTGTACTCATGTACCTTTGTGCATTTAAATCAGGAGAATATTGTAGCATGTTTGGCTACTGAGACTCCGTTTGGACTGGTAATTGGTTTTATTAATAACCTTCAAGTTGTAACTACAATTGTAACACTATTGTGGGTTTACACAATTTACAGACACTACACACTAATCTTCTCAGTCTACCTGCAGTAGTTTTCATGTATTTATAACCCTGGAGCTATACAAGTCTCACTGAATTACACACTCCCCATCTCACTGCACTATGGCACATAAAAATTCTTGAAGTCACTCACTATCACTGATTATCACCCATAAAATCTTCTAATCACACGTTCAGGTCTTCTTCCTCTTCTTACTTGTTTAATTAATCCATAGCGATCAGGAGGTATTGGTTTTCTTGGTCGCTTATTTATTGATAATGGAAAATACTACCTGTGCTTGGTCTTTTATATAGAGATTATGGTAGATAAGATTTTGTCTTTTATCACTGACAGCAGAAATTGTTCACTAAGGTTTGGTTTCTAACGCATAATGCTATTTTTCCTGTATTTTATTATTTATGTTGCAAGTTTTTCAATTTGAGTCTATGTCGTTTTAGACAGTCCATACTACAGAACCTGTGGATATCATACTGAAATGGGACTGTCCACAGCACATTGGAAACACCTAGATACATTTGGTTTCACTTTACTGTCAGCTGCCTGAGACAGAAGCGTTCTTTCAGCAGCAAGGGCCTTCTTTTTCTCTGTCACTCAGTTGAAGAAATCTTTGTTTCTCAACCTCTTCTGCTTTTATTGCCATCCATTTTTTTTTTTGGTTTCCTTTTTCTCTCTCTTTTAGCTTTTCTCTGTTGTTGTCGTTTCTTTGCCATTTTTTGATCCATATCATCTGTTAATGGTCCCACAATTTGGGACTTGGAATAGTCATATTTGCCTGGAAAATCAGCCCAAAATCTCCTAAAAGTATTGCGTGTTTCTTTATTTGCAGAGACAACATATGGAGTCTGTGACTTCTTGCTCTTGACAGAGGGATCACAGCCAGCTTCCAGTAAAGCCCTAACAATGACCAAGTGTCCACCTTGAGCAGCCACATGCAGAAGTGTCTCTCTGTTCTCACCAACATTCTCATTAAGGCAGCTCAGATATTCCACCCTTGAGATGTTACTGTTCTTACTTCTACACTAAGAGGCCTTCTCTTTCTCAGAATCATAAGCTTCTTCATTTATTTTAGTTGTCTCAGCTTCACAATTCTCTGGCTCCTCTTCGCTTGGGTGGACAATCTGAAGAGAATTAACCAATAAATCTGTGTCTCTAATCCGACAAGAAGCCCAAAGCTTTCTTCGGAGAGCCATAACTGATGCACTGTACAAATCTTTTTCAACTTTCTTCTTGTGCTGCCTTTTGCCAGTCATTTTGTTATCTTTACTATGCCTTGTTTTATCTTTCATCTCTTGTGGTACTGTATCACAAAACGCCTGAAGACAATAAAATGTTGTCCCTCTTTCCTCATTTATCACGTGGCTTCCAGTAGTTGTTTCTGTTTCACTGATATCACTTTCAGATTAACTTCTAGGCAAAGGTCGATGGGGTGACTTACGAGGTTTAGCACGATCAATATTATGTTTGGAGCTCCCTCGTTTTGGACTCGTGTTTTCAGTTCCTTCAACTGTATTCTCATAATTAATTCTTTCATCCTGTGCTGCCTGAGACTTAAAACCTTGTTTTCTTGAGGTCTGAGGGAAATATGTTTGGACGGCCTCTCCAGAGCCATACATCTCAACATTGGTAAGGATATCATATACACGCTTGACCTCACTGAAGGTGGCACGTCTTGTGGCAAAGGGGATGGTGCGCAGACGAGAATCAGTCTTGTTAAGAGGAGGATTCCGACCACTGAAGAGAACATTTCCATTGTGACCAACAGCGCGGTACAGGATTAGACCACAGCTATCCAACTGAGATGACCAGGATTCCATGATATCTTGTACATGCTGTATCAATGCTGCCTCATTGTATCTACGAAGATTGGCTCCTGCACTTTTAGGGTGGCTTCCACCACTTCGTCCATCTCGAGAGCTCTGAGCCCCACCTTGGCGAGAACGAACTGTATAACAGTGAAATGTCTTGTGCACTAACACTTCCTGCCCTTGGAAAATGCCTGCAGCAAAATGACCTCCTCCAAGCATAATAATAGCCCACACTGGATTGGCTGCAACCTTCATGGCCATTTGAATTAACTGCTCATCATTCTCTGGTACTTCTTTCTTTCCATGTAAGAGACATCGATACATCGACAGTATCTTGCCATCTTCATTTTCAAAAAAAACTTTGGTATGTCTTGCTGCCATTAGTCTCAAATGTTCACGTTTCGTTTCATGACCATGATCGTTTTGTTCATATTCAGGATATGAACCACTGACATCATCTTTACAGCATGTGATCTTCATGGGTTCATTATTCTGAAACGAACCAAGATTTGCAACCGATGATGGTATAGAATCTGAACTTTTCCCATCTTCACTCTCAGATTCAGAACCCAAAATACTCAACATATCATCTTCAAGTTGTGTAAATTTCTCTTCTGTAACAGGCTTCAAGTCATCCAGTTTTCGATTCAGATTATACCTATGCCAGTCCGACTTGTAGTGCAATATTTCTTGAGCTTGATCTTCAAACTTTGCATTACAGAAAGAGCAGAATATTTTTTCAGATATATTCAGATTTTCAGGCTTGCAGAGACTCTGGCGTACAGCATTCTTTGCATGCATGTCATCAGTGGAACTTGATCTCATACATGGTGCTACCTTCATACCTTTAGTCACTTTATTGAAATCTGCTTCAAATATCTTGTACACTTTATACTTCATTGTTACTTGTTCAGAATATGAGTAGTATTTCAGCTGTTACAATCCAAGATGTTTCACTCACGGAATTTTAAGATCTTCCAATTACACTTCAAATATCACTGCGCCGTCGCACACGTAAATTCTTAAGTCACTCACTATCACTGATTGTCACGCATAAAATCTTCTAATCACATGTTCAGGTCTCCTTCCTCCTGCGTCTGTCTCGCACTCACTCCGTGAACTAACTCTGACCAACTTCTTCGACCGACTTCTTAGGAATTCCAGTTTCTCCTATAAGGCCTCATTCGGACAGGCGGAAAACGCAGCTTGCCCTCTGTTGCGTAATCGCCGTGTTTACAGAGGCGTTGCTGGGCAACGCTGAATAGCAAGCAGCGCGGTGCAGCTCGGCACGACACGGAGAAAACACCGCTTTCCTAAGTGTTGCGTAATAGCCGTGTTTACAGATTTCTGTGGCGCAACGATTCCTGCATGGCGTAAATACGCCACAATATTAAAAAAGTATTTATTTTACTATCTAGATAATATAAGCCCCAGGCTAATTATTTTTGCACTAGTTCTTTAAAAGTTGCATGTAAATTATTCTGCTGATCTTAAATATTGTAACGTGTTATTTCAGCGACAACGAATACTTGGAAATTGTTAAGTTCCCACAGCGACAAATGAATAACAACAGGACATTGCGTAGGAAAACCCTAGCAACGAACTGTCGTTGAGTAACAACGGATGAGACGACACACGTTACCGGTGTATTCTATAAGGAGCGTTCCCGAAGCAGCGGATTGCTGAACACGTGAAATCGAACTTTGGCGAGGGGTGTCCTCTATTGAGCTCGCGTGCGGTCTAGATAAAGTTCGACTTCGACTTCGTTCAGCAATCCGCTGACTGACCGTCAGTGGTAATGTGACTTGGACTTGGACGGAAGTTGAGTATTGAGCCAGAAGTCAGTCTTAAGAAAGTCGCCGTCGAAAGCAGTCTAGTATTCGCCGAGATATAGTAAAAAGTAAAAAAAAAAAAAAGAAGAAGTAAAGCTATCCCTGTACCAGGCCGTGAAGGCCCATAGGGTTGTGAGACGTTGAAGGTCCCACATTATCTAGACAGTCGGCTCAAAGATGGCGGTAAGGTTGTCAGCCTTACGCGCCGGCCGCGCTTTACTCCCCAGGAAAGTTATTTAATTAATTTCTGGTACTCATTTCTGTTAGAGGATGAGTGAACCCCAAGGCCATAGTTCGGCTGGAAGGATTAGGTCAGTTGAAAAAAAAAACAATTACCTCATCGGGATTTGAACCCGCGACCTTCCTGCTTGTAGCATGGAAGCAGTAATTGTGATACTGCAAGTGATACTAATTTTACTTGAGTGTGTAAGAGTGAGCGTTCAATAAATATTCGCTAAATCCGAGACCCACGTGAAGTTATTTGCCCCTCTGAATAGGGAACACGCCATATTTTAACAGTATAGATTCCAGCACAGGGAGAGATTCTTTTATATTGCCACGTGTTGGGTATATGTCACGCGACAAATCACATTACGCCGTATTGAATGTAGCGAATTTATTCCACATTCGCTCTTACACTTATACAGTTCACAGTTTCACAATTACTGCCATCTGCAGTATTAAATTTACTTATTCTGCTTTCATTCATTCTGGCGAATGCTAGACTGCAACTGCACTCGGCGGCTTCACGATTCTCACTATGTCACTCCTGATCACAAACTCTGGTGACATACTGCTCAGCCGGCCTTTTGTACCGTGCCCTGTTGCCTGTGTCAACAGCTGTGTCTCGTGTTACGTCACAGTGGGAATTGCTGTTATGTCACCGCGGGGGGCGGAGTGTTGACTGGCCTGTTACCGTAGCAGTGGCAGCGCTCGGATGCTGTTACATCACCGCTGGCGGGGGTGGGGTTGCCCTGCATAGCGCAAATACGTCTTACTGCTCCCTCCTTAAGGCCGTTCGTCCCGAATAGCCTAACGGTGCATCCCCGTTCCTCCTCTTTGAAGGGTGGTTTGGGAAATTTCAGGAATTCTGCTTGCTTCTTTCGGAAGTAATTTCTTTTGTTGCGTCTTCTGATCAGCTAGTACCCAAGCACCATATCAAGTGTCATGGTTTATTCCATATAGAAGTCATATCTATAAGATTTGTATGAATGCATGAAATGTGGTAATTTATTAATAAGGAGGGAAGTAAAAAATTATCCGCACTAAAAGTAGGAGTTGAACAAGTACTTCATTTTTCTACATAGTCTCCTCCCTTTTCGATGCACTTGGTCCAGCGGTCAAAAAGCTTGCGTATTCCCTCCACGAAGGTTTTCGGTTGGTCGCGTAAACATTTATGCACCGCTTCCCCCTCTTCTTTGTCCGTAGAAAATACAAAACCTCGTAAAACATCTTTGAGCGATCCGAAGAGATGATAGTCGGAAAGGGCGAGATCTGGGCTGTAGGCAGGGTGTTCCAGCACCTCGAAACACAAATGGTTAATGATTTCAACGGTCTGGCCGTCCTTGTGTGAATGTTCATTGTCATGCAACAACAACACTTTCTTCGACAATAGCCCTCGGCGTTTGGTGCGAATTCCTGGCTTGAGATTGTTTTCCAGCAAATCACTGTATCTTGCACTGTTGATCGTACACCCTTTTTCCAGGTAGTCTTCCAGTATAGGCCCTTTTGAGTCCCAAAAGACTGTTAGCATCACCTATCCCACGAAAGATTTGAGTCTTGAATTTCATCTTCGTTTGCGATCCCGGGTGTTTCCACGCCACACTCTGGCTTTTGGATTCTGGCTCATAGTGATGAACCCACATATGAATTTCAGCCCCTGATACACCGTCCAATCAGAGAAATCGGGTCACTATTCTTTGTTAATCATTGGTGCACACTGCTAGCAGAGTGGCCATGTTTACACTGTCACAGCATCAAGGAAAATGAAGCGATCAAGGTAAAACTTCGATCACGTGACCACAGTAGTACCAACTCTAACAATGCATGCGTAGGAGGCAGTGTGACAAACCTAAAGATGTGTTATGGAGAAAGTGCGGATAATTTCTCACTTACCCTCGTACAAGGTAGTTGAACCTTAAGGTTTGACACTACCAATCTCAAAACCCCGCTATTGGACATGATCATTCTTAGTTTCATCCACCTGAATTCTTACTCCTGTTTCATATTTGGGAGGTCCTGGATTTAAATCTTAGCTCTTGGACACTTGCTGTGCAAATTTAGGTTTCTGTTTTCTGCAGTTCCTCCAGGCAAGTGACAGAATGTTTTAGTACTGAAATTAGACCAAGAGTATTTCTTTCAAATTCATTATTCACTATTCATCCTATCATGATATGATTTATAGTCTGAACTAGTGACAGTGTTTTTAAATAAATTACAAAATAAAAAGAAAATAGTTCAATTCTTTTTCCGTCTACCCACCATACCTTCCTAAAGATCCCTCTTATCATGATCCTTCTATCTCTTAAGACGTTTCCCATCAACATTCTGTGTATATTTCTTATTTCTTCGATTCTGGCCGCATGCCAAGGTTATTAGAGACAGAATTCTTTATCATGTAGTATCCTAAGTTGCTCAGTATTTTTCTTTGGTCTGAGTATTTTCCTGAGCATTGCCTTTTGTAATACCAGTAATTTATGTTCTTTCTTCAAGGTAAGAGATAATTCCATACAAACCACTGGCAAAATTGTTGTTGTGTATAAGTTGATCTTAAGCATTTCGGGAAGTATACAGGCTGACAGAATTTTTTAAATGGATAATAATACTTTTTTTCCAGATCTTAATTTCCTGATTTAAACATGAACTTTATGCGTTAGTGTTGTTCCCAGATAATTATTATTTCGAATTCTCAAAGGATTTGTTGCAAGCAACAGAATTTCGGTGAGCATATCTCACAAACCACAGAATGAAAGTATTTTATGTATAAGATGTGTTTTAATTCTCTGCAGCAGTTGTGCGTGCAACACATGTAGGCAAAATAAGAAATGTCCAAACTTTGTTCAAGAAATCTCAAGGGGACAAACGTTTATGAGGACATAGGCATAAATGGGAAATGAGAGAATGATACTGAAATAGATTATGGAGGAATAAGGGTATGGATTAAGCTGGCTAATTTCAGTGGTGGAGTGTTGTGAAACTTTAAGTTTTATAGAAACAGGAAATTTCATGGCTAAGTAACTATGAACTGTGCGATGGAGTTACATATTTTAGTGCATCGTGACAGTTAATAGTCGGTAGGTGCCTCCTACCCCAGTAGAAAGTGCTTACAGCTTTGCTTCTCTAAACAAATATTGAATACAGGGCACTCCCCTCCAAACAAATATTAAATACATTCCACTTTTAGATATGTTTGTATATTGAAGTGTGTCGGTCATTATGTAAACGTTTTGCAGTAACTGGCTTCAGAACTTCCCATAAATGATTAATAACTTAAAGAGCCGCCACAGTTCTGAGTTTTATGTAGAGAAAGGCAGTTGATGTGAAAATTAGACCAATAAGTTAGTCATGGCCGTACCATAGCTCAAGCGGTTAGTCGCTGGTTTCCCACTGCGGCGGCCCGGGTTTGATCCCTGGTCTGGTCAAGTGGGATTTGTGGTGGACAAAGTGGTGCTGGGGCAGGTTTTCTCCGAGTACTTCGGTTTCCCCTGCCAATCTTCATTCCACCAGTTGCTCCACAATCACCCTCGCCTATCATCTGGGGCTGGTACAATAGGCCAGAAGTGGCCGCAGTACAAGGGACTTAGTCCCACCCCACTAGCAATAAAAAAAAGTTAGTCATTGTTGTCTTTCTTATCATAGAGACTTCATTTACACAGGCAAAGTAGTCTATAGATGCCAAGATTTTTATTTACTGGTTATTTTAGTCTGGAGGAGGTTTACAGCAATATAACCAGTCCCTGCTGTTGATTTATTTGTTTCCTGCTAGTTAGTGCCTGCTCCTAACATTTTGCCCCGTTTTCATTTTTGTCTTATGGAACTCATAATTGTCTGTCTGCAGTTATGAATTATTGCATGAACTGAACCATATTTTAAAATTTAAGATATAGTAGGATGGGGGCCTTTTATCAGTCTTTGGACCACATACACAGGACCATAAAACGCCAATAGGGATTAAGTTGTCACGTGTCATGCTTAAAGAATATACACATAGCAAGACGTGCACAGTACATAAGAACTGAAGGGCTGTAAAAGGTTACATGTCGGTGTCTGACGAAGTTTGCAGTTTAGCAGGCATGCAGTGTGGTCAGCCGTGTACTAGCTGTGGCAACTTGTATGAATGTAGTTACTGTGGGATTCTGACGATGGTGTATAACACACGGAGATATTGGGTTTACGGACTATCCATCGTCCTGGTTTTAAGATAACTAAGAAAAACACGACGTTTCGGAAGCTGGATCTGTTTCCGTCCTCAGGTGAGGGAAAACACCCATTCTTTTGGGTCCCTAGACCAGTGATTGAAGCTAGCTCTTTCTAAGGGACCCAACAGAATGGGTGTTTTCCCTCAGCTGAGGACGGAAACAAATCCAGTTTCCGAAACGTCGTCTTTTTCTTAGTTATCATAAAACCAGGACGATGGATAAAGTCCGGAAACCCAATATCTTTGTATGAATGTGTTGGACAGGTGCTAGCAAATGATTTACAAAATGTAGCTTTCTCAGTTAGTCTCTTGTATGAAAATGAATGCTGATTTCTCATTGGGTAATCAAACATGTACTTGAATTTTGTGAACATCAGTTGTTAGACGGTTTAATATGGACTAAGTAGTTAGTTATTTAGAGAGGGTGGGTTTCCCCATGCACCGCGACCCGTTTGATCTATTGTGCTTCCCTCTATGATATTCTACCAGTCTCTTTACCCTACTGATAAATGGTGCGTACCATCCGTCCCGCCGAGCAAGCGAGTTCGGCCACTTGCTTAGCGGTGTCTATAATGCTTCCCCCATCTATCAGAGGCCTAAGAGGCTATTGTTGGGCGGGAAACGTCCTGGAATTTGGCTCAGTGATCCCCTTTGGGGATATGAGGTTCTTTTACGTGCCGTAAAGTTACGACACGGGACACACAGCTTAAAGTCCCTCAAGGAGGACTTGTTCCCTGAATTTTTCCGCCCTTAAAAATTCGACGACCTCCACCGGGTATTTGAACCCGCGTACTACGAGTCATGAGGTGGGAACGTTACCTCTAGACTACGGAGGCCGCTATGGACTAAGTAACTAGTGAGTATGCTGGTGAGAAGTTATCTGAAGGAAAATATTATTTTAGTGACAGTAATTACATTAATAAACAGACTTTATCCGCAAGTGTGAAGAAGAGAAAAATAATTATGTTTTTTTCTGTCCAGACATGCATTATGTTATATTTTTAGTTATATTCGTGGTTTGTCAAAGAAGACAAACGTAAATTCATGTAATAATGAACTATGCGATAAGTGGCGCCGTCCCCCCCCCACCTCCCCCCCGAAATATGTGGACCCGTACTCTTGCTCGATTTTAGCCACGGGGTTGAAGTATACAATGCATCACGAGATGTGCGATGTTTGACACTTAAGGCGAGTCTGCAGTAGACATCCAAATGTTTAGCCATTGCTTGTAAGTGTGCATGTGACGGTTTCACGATACTGTCTGGTTGACAGGTGACGTAAGCCGATTAGATTGAGTACATTGCCTTCCTCCGACCCCTCAGGAGGCTTAAGTGCCTATTAAAACAAACAGTGGCGTCTACAAGGGATGGTGTACTCCGTTTTTAATGGGGTTTCTAACCTCTGCCAAATTATTGGAATTTTATACCTTCTTTCATATACTCCCGCTGCACACTGGCCCTCCCTCCATAGTTGCGCATGCAATTTTGATCATCAGGTCCCGAGCAGTTTTATACCCTGGGACTAGCTGCTGGAAGACGCGGCCGATTCATCACCTAGGGTCCAGGTGAGTTGCGAACTGCGAAGTCGCACACGCGGATGAGATATATTATGATGGAGGAGGGAAGGAGGGAGGGCTGGCGTAGAGCCGGTCGTACGTTTGGGTTGGTCGGGAAATGAGCTGCTTGGTTAGCTGGGTGAGGTAGCGAGATCGACTCGTAAACACTCGCATTACACATAGCTATGTAGTGTTACGCCGAGTGAGCTCCCGGCGTTGTGCAAGTATCTAAATATTCTACATGTCGAAGTGGAAGCTAGCGTAAAGTGCACACAGATTTTCAAGTGGAGAATATTGTGTTCTATGTGGAAGTACTGGTTTTCTGTCGAATAATATATATAAGCCAGTAGGCCATCAATATATTCTGTGCCCCTCCCCCGCGACCGAAGTTTCCCTGACTGACATAGGACGTACTTTCACGTGTGTTTAATGTTACTGCTTCTAATAGTCTGCTGTCAAACCAGTTTTCACTTAGTAAAACTTATACGAGTGGAGAAATCCTAGTGCCTGTTTTTAGAATGTGGAAAATGCGTGTGTACATAGCAGTTCTACGTAACGCTAACAAGCAAGCAGCTTGAATAAGAACAAACGTGTGTAGATTGCAGATGATGAATGTGCGCTCTTACAGCGCACTCCGTTGGTAGTGAACGTTACATTTTTTGTCAAGGTTATGGTCAGGACATGTTGGTGATTTAATTAAATTAATAACCTGTGGAAAGACATTTCTAAATTGAATTGAGGAAGAAGGACAGTCGTGTTATTTTTTCGTGATTTTTCAATAATTTTGGGTATGAATGAAGATACTGTTTTGCAGGTGTCGTAATGCACAGCTGACGGATGACAGAACAAATCAAATTCGCAGTTGCAATGGTGTAATGGAACGCCGAGCGGTAAGTCAGTGGATTTATTTATAATTTCGCGTTATTCAGTAAAAGTAATTAGCTTTTAGTTTTAGTAACTTCTGTTGGGTGGATCTTTGTACAATCCAAAACATACAAGTATTCGAAAGAAATTGTGCAGTACTATGTATTGAAGCATCGTGTGCACGAAATTCGAAGATCGACTGTGAATTATTAAGTTTCCAAGGTAAAACATGCAACCAGAAATAAACATATGTAAGTACGAAGAGCATATGTGATTTTGTTTGATTTTTTTTTGGCAATGTCGTGTAGTCTAAAGGACCGACAGTTGTGTGTGTAATTTTATCTCATCAGTATATATATATTTTTTTTATTTCAAATGATTTTAAGTTGTTTTGTGCTTATTTTTATCCATCGATACTTATAATTTACAACAATTTCTTGAAATATGTCATCCTACGTCTGTTGTTGCTTTTGATTTTTTTTTCGGCAGCACAAATGGAAATAATTTCATGTTGGAATTCACGCCTGTGCAGTCTGCAGGAACTGCTTTTTGTGGTTGTAGGCCTGTGCTCTAGAAACATTTCTATTCTATCTGTACACTAGTACACTAGTACTATAGTACTAGGCACTCTTGATGTATCGATTTGTTATAGCTCAGTGTTGTTTAAGAACGCCATGTCAGTAACTGAGATTATTCAGATTCATGGTAGGTACGTTTGTTGAAGCACGAGAGTGAAGGTGATAGGGTGAAAGTTAAAGCCCCTGGAGATATGCCCCAGAGCATTATTGTTAGATTATAAACTGCGCCCGGTCTCGAGCTGGTGTTCGCTTGGTGGGAGGTCTGTGCACTAACCTCAAGATCAGCTACCCGGGGCGAAATGATATCAATGTAATTGGGTGGATGTGATCCTGTTTTTCTGCACGCCGCCGCCATCATGCTAATGGAGATGACTAGTCACTAGGGACCGGATTTTTAAGCCCTTAGCCGGTCACGGTAGCCGAGCGGTCTAAGGCATGTACTGTCTTCGCTCGCCTGGAAACCGGGATCGTGGGTTCGAATCCCACTCAAGACATGGATGTTTAGTTTGTGTGTGTGCGTTTTTCTGTGTTTGTGTGTAGAGGTAGAGGCCTTGCGACGAGCTGATCACCCGCCCAAGGAGTCCTACCGAATGTGTAAGATCTAGAAAAACCGAAGTGAACGGAGAAGTTCATGGAGGTAGGCCTAGGCCCACTGGGGCTGTAGTGCCGAGGAAAAAAAAAGCCCTTAAATATGTATCCATTTATGTGTGAAAAACTTCCAAAATGTGCACATAAAAAGTGCGTACCAAATATTAAAATAGATTTTACATTATTTTAAAAGAAATCAACATTTAAGTTAATTTTATGTAATCATCGAATGATTCACTTGCATTGTACAGGAGCCGCTATTTACTGTACTGTTAGTGATTTTTTTTACTTGGCAGTTCAGTACGTTTACCGGCTAAAATTTCTTCAGTTTCACTAATTTGTTCATATCCTTTTCTTTTTTTTTTTTTAAAGAATGCTGTGTTCTTTTACCTTTACTACTTCAACTCTTCAAGGAGCAGAATCCAATTTGGAAACAGTTGTTTTGAATACACTTAACGATTGATACATAGTAGTATTGCTATTGCCTGCCTCCAATGAGGAAACGGCGGATGGAACATAAGAGAAGTGAGCTTATATATAGGAAAGATTAGTTTCTAGTTCTGCGGATTTTAGTACATCTTGGGCACTTTGAATTGATGCTTCACTTTTGGGATCAAATGTATGCTCGACATTCCCCCCCCCTTTCCCCCCCTTGGCACTACAGACCCAGTGGGCCTAGGCCTACCTCCATGAACTTCTCCGTTCACTTCAGTTTTTCTAGATCTTACACATACGGTAGGACTCCTTGGGCGGGTGTTCAGCTCGTCGCAAGGCCTCTACCTGTACACAAACACAGAAAAACGCGCACACACAAACTAAACATCCATGCCTTGAGTGGGATTCGAACCCACGATCCCGGCTTCCAAGCGAGCGAAGACAGTACATGCCTTAAACCGCTCGGCTACCGTGACCGGCCACGACATTCCTTACAGTTTCTAAATATACGGTAAAATAATTCACTGCACACAGCCACGTGCCCCTGCGCGTTAAAATTGGTTCTTCTTTAAATGCTGCTTTTCTGTATGGTGCTTTAACAGATACCGTCTTCATATGACATCAACTTGTCAACAAGCGGAACATTTGCACGAATTGTTTCTGCAACACGGTGCAACCCATGGGCAAGGCAAGTCAAATGAGTCATATTTGGAAATATAACGTTACGAGCAGTACCGGCTATGATCATATGACTTGCGGCATCAGTCATAAAGAGCAATACATGCTCACACATACCATTCGGCCATAGTAAATTCATGGAATCCATACCAAATTTTGAAACTGCTGAGCTATTTGTGGTTTCCAGTTTCTCTGCCGCAAGAAGATATGGGGTAGTTTGTTCGTTCTGATTAAGGGATCCAACTATAATATTTGCAATAAACCGTCCCACTCAGTCATGTGTTTCGTCAGTTGATACCCACACAAAATTATCTTGAATCTTATATCTAATGTTTTCAGTTGAAGGAACTTAGCATTGCTTCACTTAACTTTTGCGCATATTAGATTCATCCGGAACTGTGTATTTCGTATTTTTTCGTATTCGTATTATTAGAGGGGGTGGGTTTCCCCATGCACTTAGACCAGTTATTGGTCCATTGTGCGTCCCCCTTTAATTTCTACTGTCGCCATACCCTACCGGTAACGGTGCGTGCCATCAGCCCCGTTAAGCCAACGAGGTCGGCCCTCGGTACCTTGATGCTTCCCCCATCTACCAGAGGCATTGGAAACTACTTAGGCGGGAAAGTATTGCCTTTAATATAGCTCAGAGGTCTGCTAGAGACATGAGGTTCTTTTACGTGCCGTAAATCTACGATATGGGACACACGGCTTAAAGTCCCTCCCGGAGGACTTGTTCCCTGAATTTTTCCGCCCTTAAAATTTCCACGACCTAATGAGGTGGGAACGTTACCCCTAGAATACGGAGGCAGCTTTTGCACTGTGTATACTTCTCTATGAAGTTTCTCAGAGTAGGATTGGTTAATTTCCACAGCGGAATGCCTGCCCATAGAAAGCCTTCGCACAAGAAAAAGGAGAATTGTGAAAAACTGTTCTTAGAAAATTCACTAAGAAATTTTTGAACAGAACCATTTTTCGTGGATTAAATTGTAATATTTCTTTGTGTATATTAGTGTTCAAATGCTGAAGCCCTGGAAAGCGTTTTCACTATCAACTGTTTTTTTTTTTCACACGCTCAGCAATAAAGAATTTTGTTATCCATAGTTATGATCTTTCCTTCGAACTCCCGTTGATACAGCTGTAGGTTAGTTTTCTTACTTATTTTCAGTTTCGGCATGACTACAAAAAGCTGAACAAACTTAACCACAGACTAGTCACCACTAATATGAATGGCTCCCAGCTCCAGATGAAGAAGCATAGAGAACTTGACGGAGACTTCGGAAATAAATAAATGAAGTCTGTTATCAGTTGAATAGTACGTATTACGTTCCTAGCAGCGGCATGTGAATACGCGTCCGACTTCACAGCCACTTTGATGGTATGCGGATGAGGAAAGTTGGAGTAAAGGGATCAGGGAAGCCCCGTCTTGGGTATTGCATCAGAAACACGAATCCAGACTCAACTTGCAGTTTGCATGACGAACTGTTGCGGGTCAGATATGCAGCATATCCCAAGACGGAAAGGAACAATTGTATACACACGACGATGATTGAAAATTTGAATATAAAACAACAAATAAAAGTTAAATGTTAAATATTTTAAAAAGAAATATGCAGCATAAATAGAGATCTTAGAAAATATTATGCTTATTCATAAAACAGACAAAATATGCATTTATGTGGACTATCAAACCATGTCAAAAATTTAAGAAATGTAATTCGTATATCCAAATGAGCACACGTTTTGGTTTCAAGAAATAAATATGTATTTGAATTAAAATCTAGTCCCCACCTGTGACGTGATTGTTATAGGGGGCTGCTGATAGAGTAATACGTTCCACCGGTGTGTGCTTGAAGACGCCAGAATTATTACGGAATATCTCCACTGACGGTATCTGGTCCAGAAGGCCCTCCACCCTCCTTTTATATACAAATATACGTAGTAGTGCGTTATTGCGTAGTATACCGTGTATTTGGACGCACGTGAAGAACCTTTAGTTGGTACATTAATATGCTCTCATTTTGTATTTTTATTATTTATTAAAACCGTTATTAACTATTGATCTGTAAGTGTTTAAACCATATTAGTTAATTTTTAGGTGCTTTGGAACCGAAAAGTTGAAGAGATGGGTCCATTAATCTCTTCATATTTGTCCGTCCACATGTAAACAGTTCCTGAACTGCTGAACGGAATTTCATGAAATTTGATATTGCGGAGTTCCATAAACTTGTCAGCACACCGCAGTTTTAGTTAAAAGTCGGATGGAGCGAAGAATGTGTAGGACAAAAATTGTAGAGGAAAATGAAAGGTATTGTGCAAAATGCACTTTTCTGTAAATCTTGGGGTTTCAGGTCAATTGAAGAGAATTGTTACGCTATGCGCACGTTATCTCACTTGTTAATTTTGTTGTCTTATATTTTTGTTGGGACTTTTATCAGTGATTTCACCTTGTAGTAGGACCAGTAGTTTCCATTCGCTACTGGAGCCCATTTGTGGTCATATTGCCCAGTAGCAGAAAAACGTGCCCGTCTAGTGACAGGTTTAATTTATTTTTACCTTAAGGAAGTAATCTTGGGATGCAAGTATTCATAACCGTACGTGATGTTTTTTGAATAACTGCCATTCGTTTTCTCTCTGAAATTTACCAAAATGTATCAAAATGCGTGACGTAATGACTTGGGCTTTATGGTCTTTGTACTTAATGTTTCTTACTGCAGTAGTTAAAATATTGAATAGTTATGGATATGGTG